ATTTCCTTGCGAAAGTGAATGCAGTTCTGGTAAACTGTTTGACAGCATGGCCAGGAATGATGCGGCGGCTGAACTGTGCTCTGGTGAATTCAATGTGTCTTACTGCCGTTATCTTGAGTGAAAACTACCAACACCACCACTGATATCTTTTATATCTGGTAAAAACATACCTATACTGATAGATAGGGGTCACTTTGGTCAACGTCACTCTGGTGCTTCAAACAGATTGCTGCATTCGCTCCTTAAGCCTTCGTTCAGTGACCGATGTCATTGATATTTGGTAGTTTGTATTTCAAGTCACTTCGACTCTGTAAATACAGTGAATTTCAAACTTTACCTAGGCCAAAGAGGGCCCCTTCAATATTTTGTAGGTACTTATTTGTGGTGGTCCTCTAACATTAGATGGAGTTTGGGGACACAAGGGTTAAGGTCACAAGTGCTAAAATATATTTTTATTCTCTTGCTAATAACAACTTTTTATTGGCTGAATGAACTTCATATATAGTATCTAAATTTGGCTGAAGTTAGGGGTCACTTGGGTCAAGGTCATTATAACTTTTACTCTAACCGGTTTTATTATTTGACTGATATGTATTGACAAATGTGCAGGTTCGAGGAACAATTATTGCCTTTATTTCTTTCTGATATTCACATGAACATGTCCCTTTTTTTCAAAGGAACTGAACTGGTCCAAAAGCCTAAAAAACATTTTTTTTCTTACAGGGCACATAAATCAGAAATATATGCAAAAAATAGGTAAGAAATATACTTGGATAAATGGATTGAAATTTGTACTTTTTGTCCCAGATGCCCTTCTTAGCCCGATACGAGTGAAAGGCATTTCAATTTTGGGTCATTCTTAACAATTTGGATAATCATTCTGGTAAAACGGAGAATGATCTGAAATTTTGCAGACAAGTTTTTGTTCTAGACCTTCATCAAATGGGAAAGTTCAAAAATTATTTCAAGTCTCATCATGTAAAACAAACTCAACGGAGTCTATTTAAACTTAAAGGTAATAATACAAATGGAACACAATTTATATTAGCAAAGTTTATTCAACTGAATGATACTAATTACGGATAAAAGTCACAAAACAAGACATTGTCTTTAAAATTACTATACTGACCATGATGTAATAGTGAGAAAAAATGGAAAAAGAAAAATTGGAAAAGGAAAAAAATGGAAAAAGAAATATGGGGAAAGGAAAAAATGGAAAAGGAAAAAACTGCATCATAATTTCATCAAAGAGTAAGACACTGTAAGGCAGATTTTTTGTGTGGAAAAAAGATGTTGTTTTAGTTGGGATTTTTTCAATTACGTTAAATTTTAATCAATATATCCTTTTTTGTCTATAACTTAATCTACAATATGGTACCAATGACAAAAATTATATATTCTGTTTCTTTTTCTGTATTCAAAGATGATAGTGCAGGAAATTAAACTCATAATAATTTCAAACAATATAAGCTTTTTTTCTCTGTTATTCCCCAATCAATTACAAAATGCAGTTACATTGTTTTTTGTTTTGTTTTTTGTTTTTTTTAAAACCTGCTAAAATTATTCATTTGCACATTAACAAAGCTAATTTCACATCAATATTGCAAACTGAACATTTATGTATCTTTTAAGACAAATATCTAACTATCATTAAAATTATCTATTACCTTGCTGTAACAGAAAATGATTGGCCCTTGCCAGACCAGTCTGTGTAGTCTGGCCAGGTTATAAAATTTTTGTTTGTTTGATTTACGGTGCACCAACACAGTATAGATTATATGTTGCCGAAATAGGAAAGATGATTTTGGCTCACATGGGGTGTTACAAACTTAAAGCAACACCAGGGGGTCAAAATCATCTCACCTGCTGGAGCTAAGACATGCATAGACTCCACATTAATCGCCTCTTACGATCACGAATCCTTATTGATATAATCATATAAATAGACTGTACTCATTTTTTAATTTGGTTTTATGTATCATATACAACAACAAAACACAACACAACACAGTATAGGTCATATGGCGAGTTTCCAGCTTTTACCAGTGGAGGAAGATCTCAGGTGTCCTTCTGTGCATTATTTCCAGGCACAAACGGACACCAGAGTAGAACAACTAGCGTTTCATAAACTAGCTGAATAATTTCTTACATAAAAGAATCTGAAGACCTTTGGGCAGCTCGAACCTATAGCAAGGTGAGGCAAATGGTCTGAAGTCAGCGACCTTAACCACTCAGCCAGAGAGGTCCTTGTACTCAATTCAAAGCAGGGAAAATTCATTATACACTTTGAGCAGGTTTTGGATTAACCATGCAGACAACATTCTTTAATTTTACAACTTAACAATAGTGAACATAGAATTAAACTACTGTGAAAAATATGAGATATTGCTTTTTATGTCCATCCATACAAGAGACTGTATAACAAAATACAGCCATCAAAGTTATCAAACCACCATACATTACTCAACATTTGGTCCCTTTACATATAGCTATAGAATTGAGAAACATTTCAATGAAATAACTGAAATGATTAAACGCAACAATCTACAGCAATCTTCAGATCTATATGAAATTCATTTTCTGGTCTCAAATATCATATGAATATATATGTGTTTATGTATAACAATAGATTTTCTTTCACAGTAAGTAATATACATCATATATCACTGATGCCACATGTTATCACATTGATAAACAATGTATTATATTGATAAACAATGTTGTTTATTACATTTATGAACAGTGTTTTATATTCATTAACAATGCTGTTTTATTGCATTGATAAACAACATTGCTTACTACAATGATAAACAATGCATTATAATGATAAACAATGTGGCTTCATTTCATTGATAAGTATTTTATTTATAAAAAAATGTTGCATTCTTACATTAATAAATTAATGCATTTCATTGATAAACAATGTGGTTTTCTCACATTGATAAACAATATATTTCATTGATAAACAATCTTGCTTTATTACACTGATAAACAATGTATTACATTTATATTGATAAACAATGTGGAAAATATTACTTTGATAAATAAAATGTTATATTGATAAACAATGTAACATTATCACATTGATAAACATTAAATAGCAATGTGCATATTTTTCTATGATATAAATATCATTTGTAAAATACAAATTCAGATGTGTCATAAGAATACATTGTAACTGGCAGCATTTAACCCTTAATCTGCTGGAACCAAACCTGATAAGCCTTTGAAACCAGCTTACAACCAAGCTAGCCTGAACATCAGAGAACTTTGCCAAAGCTCTATGCTTTTGGCTGCGATTTTTTTTAACTTGATATAGAAAACACTTAATATTTTAATGGACATTAATTAGTCATGATTGCTTTGTTAAAATTATAAATAACAATTATAACAAGAGCCATGTCAACATGGCCATCACCAGCCGAATGTGTTTGCTCATTGGAAGAATGTATATGTAGTAGAGCAGAATAATTCCATTTTAAGAGGTCTTTTGGTAATGAAAACTGATGGCTATAGTGATTACAGACTTGAAACCTATGTGAATACTGACGGCTGAAAATAACAAAGGGCAATAACTAAAAAATAATGCAGGGTAGGTTATCATTCTTGTGTGCTGCATCCCTAATCAGTAAAATCTATCCACCTATGAAGTTTCAAGTTGATACCTCAAATATTTTTTGAGAAAAAAATTGAATTGAAAAATTAAGTATGAAAAATAACAAAGGGCAATTACTCAAAAATCATAAAAGGTAGAGTTATCATTCTTGTGCACTGCACATCTCCTGAGTGAGATCTATGCGCCTATGATATTTCATTTTGATATCTCAAAGGCTTTTTGAGTTATGCTCTGGACAAAAATTAATTTTGAAAAATAACAAAGGGCAATAACTCAAAAATAATGCAGGGTGGAGTTATCATTCTTGTGCAATGCACTCCTCCTCAATGAGTTCCATCCACCTATGAAGTTTCAAGTTTATACCTCAAATACTTTTTTAGATAAGCTCTGGACAAAATAGCATGAAAAAGAACAAAGGGCAATAACTCAAAAATTGTATAGGAAGAGTTATCATTCTTGCACACAACATTCCTCCTCAATAAGATCTATCCAACTATGACATTTCATGTTGATATCTCAAAAACTTTTTGAGTTTTGCTCCACTCAGGTGAAAAATTAAGTATGAAAAATAACAAAGGGCAATAACTCAAAAATTATGACAGGTAGAGTTATCATTCTTGTGCACTGCACACCTCCTGAGTGAGATATATGCACCTATGAAGTTTCATGTTGATATCTCATAGGCTTTTGGAGTTATGCTCTGGACAAAAATCAATTTTGAAAAATAACAAAGGGCAATAACACAAAAATTATGCAGGGTAGAGTTATCATTCTTGTGCACTGCACTCCTCCTCAATGAGGTCTATCCACCTATGAAGTTTCAAGTTGATAACTCAAATACTTTTAGAGATATGCTCCGGACAAAAATGTCGGACAGAAGGAAGGACGGAAGGTCGGACGGACGGAGACTATTTCTATATCCCCCGCCGCCTTTTTGGCGGGGGATAATAATCAGTTCAAACAGATGTTTCTGTCATTAGCTTTTTCAAAAATTTCATTGTTTCATCATTCCAGTGTTTCAATTCAATCATGGTGTCACAATTCGATCACAGTATAACAATTCAATCACAGCATCAGAATTCAATCACAGTGCCACCAGTCAATTGCAGCATCACAATTCAACTGCAGCATCACAAGTCAACCGCAGTGTCACAATTCAATCACTTTTTATAAATGTGTCAAATCATTCAAGTTGGTTATCAAGATCGAAATGTGTAGTTAGTCTGCAATTATTTATAAAAACCTGGCCAAACTGCACGGGTGTGCTGCCAGCCCTGACTCTATACTTGAGACAAAGTCTTATCTCTATAGGTTCAAGCAGTGCAATAGAAAATTTCTCAAACTAGAGGACAATGGTCAAGAAAAAAACAACAAAATATAAAAAAACTTTTCTCACTTTATAAATCATCATTATACAATATTACAATCACAATTACACCTTTTTTGAACTAATAAACAATATTTGTGACATAATGACATACTAGTAATTAATAAATTGAAATTGGTAAAAATGTAATATTTTATTGTAATAAAGCATACTTTCAATCACTACCACTACATAGCTTTATTCAAAACAAATAAATTTTTCAGTATTTTCAATGAAATATGACATACATTAATTAGTTGAAAGTGGTAAAACATTAATGTTTAATTGCAATAAAGCATATTTCTATCACCATTACTACCATGAGATTCTACTTTATCCATTTATGTTATTACTAGTATAATACTGTGATACTAATATCACAAGTTCATAACTTTGGCATCAATCAATTTTTTTCATTTGAGTTAATGTAATTTCTTCCAGTGGAACTCAATACTGGCAAAAGTCATACAAATTACCAAGTTTCCTTTGGTTTCATTCCTACCTTTCTATAGATACTACATTAATGCTGAGGCAATGTTAACTTATCAATACTTACCTTTCACCAAGAAATCCAAATATTTAACCACTACCTTTGCATTAAGATAATGTAAAACTTTCATCACTAGGTCTACACTGAGATAAGTGTAGACCTTTCACAACTAGGTCTACAATGAGATTACAGTAAACCTTTCACCACTGGGTCTACACTGAGATAAAGTAAACCTTTCACCACTAGGTTTACACTGAGATAACAGTAAACCTTTCACCACTAGGTCTACACTGAGATAACAGTAAACCTTTCACCAGGTCTACACTGAGATAACAGTAAACCTTTCACCACTAGGTCTACACTGAGATAAAATAAACATTTCACCACACACTTTACACTGAGATAACAGTAAACCTTTCACCACTAGGTCTACACTAAGATAACAGTAAACCTTTCACCACTAGGTCTACACTGAGATAAGTGTAAACCTTTCATCACACACTTTACACTGAGATACAGTAATCCTTTCACCACTAGGTCTACACTGAGATAAAGTAAACCATTCACCACATACTTTACACTGAGATAACTGTAAATCCTTTCCCCACTAGGTCTACACTGAGATAACAGTAAACCTTTCACCACTAGGTCTACACTGAGATAAGTGTAAACCTTTCACCACTAGGTCTACACTGAGATAAAGTAAACCTTTCACCACTAGGTCTACACTGAGATAAGTGTAAACCTTTCACCACTAGCTTTACACTAAGATAACTGTAAACCTTTCACCACTAGGTCGACACTGAGATAAGTGTAAACCTTTCACCACTAGGTCTACACTGAGATAAGTGTAAACCTTTCACCACTAGGTCTACACTGAGATAACTGTAAACCTTCCACCACTAGGTCTACACTCAGATAAAGTAAACCTTTCACCACACACACTTTACATTGAGGTAAATGTTCACCTTTCACCACTAGGTCTACAGAGGTAGATGTAAACCTTTCACCACTAGGTCTACACTGAGATAACTGTAAACCTTTCACCACTAGGTCTACACTGAGATAACTGTAAACCTTTCACCACTAGGTCTACACTGAGATAACTGTAAACCTTTCACAATGCTCTATATTAAGATAATATAAGTTGACAATGAAATAATCTAACATTACCTTTATATCACAATAAAATGAATCTTTCAGCAATATTTACTTGTGTACAGGGAAAGAAAACATTCAACAAATATTATCATGTTAAGATATTCTAGATCTTTCAACACTAAATCTATATTGAAATATTGTCATCAAGATCAAATCTTATTACATTTACTCTTCCTACACTAAATATCTTAAATGGACTTGTCCATCTTTCAATGTGGACAAAACCATTCATCATTTTTAGGGAATTTCACAAAATACATACTGACAGAATAGCAAACAGTGCAGAAAATGATCAGACTACATAAATGAGCCGACTGAACATGGTCTGCACTGGTGGCAAGGATTAATTCAGACAATGCCAGCAGACTAAGGGGTTAATGGATTATATATGAGGCGTGTAACGACAAAACAAACATAGTGGGTTTGCGACCAGCATGTATCCAGACCAGCCTGCGCATCTGCGCAGTCTGATCTGGATTCCTGCTGTTGGCAATCAGTTTCTATGCTTGTTACAGGGTTTGTAGGCAAACAGCATGGATCCTGATCAGACTGCACAGACAGACCCATTATGTTGGTTTTGTCATGGTGTGGCTTATATATATATATTGCTATAACGCAATCAAAATCATAATATGTATCCAAATCATGATGTTTCTTTCAACAAATAATCTATAGAAAAAAATATTAATAATTAATGAAAATGATGAAAATGCCCTTAAAACGTGTAAAATCGACATAAAAAAGACCACCAGCAAAAAAAAATGTACAAATGAACTCAACAATATTAAGATATAAATACATTGCATCAGGGTCTTTTAAATAGATTCTATTTGATTACATTTTTATCAAAAAATCAACAGCTTTTCATTTTTATACATGATGCCTTAAATAAATGTGAGTGAAAACCAGTGATAACTATTAAGAACTATACATAAATATTAATATTTTCTTCATATATCCCAAAATATTTACCTAAATAATCTCTTTACTTTGCTTATTTTCATATTGTTTTCAATAATTATTTTTAGAATGACTCTAAAAACGACTGCCACTTCTGTCAAGGGAGGTAAATAGTTACATGTTTTGTGAAAAAATTACGCCTTCTCTTGAACATTTTATATTTAAAATTTTGTCTTATACAGTGCATACTTTACATAATTTTTATCTCCCTTTATAAATCAAACATTGCAAAAAGATAAATTAACATGCAACATATTACTTTCCTTTACAAACAAATGAATTGTGTGAGTGAGATATATGACTTTAAATATATTACCTCCCTTTATAAAACATACAATTTGTCTGAATGAAATATATTACCTCACGAAATATTACCTTCCTTTATGAAACAAACAGTATGTTCCAATGAATTATATTACTTTAGGATATATTACCTCCCTTTATAAAACAAACGATTTGTTTGAATGAGATATATATCGCCTTACAATAAATTACCTCCCTTTATAAGAGATGATCTGTTCCAATTTGATATATTACCTTAGGATATATTACATCCACTTATAAAACAAACAATTTGTTTGAATAAGATAAAATATTATTGCCTTATGATAAATTACCTCCCTTTACAAAATAAACAATTTATTCGAATGACATATATTACCTTTGGCTATACTACCTCCCCTTATGAAACAAACAACTTGTTTGAATGAGACATATAAGTTTACGATATATATAACCTCCCCATATAAAACAAACGATTTGTTAAAATGAATTATATTATCTTACAATATATTACCACTCTTTATGAAACAGACAGTATGTTTAAATGGGATAAAGACTTGTGCTACATAAACTCCCTTTATAAAACAGTTAATTTGTCCTTTATACCAATATAAGTCAAGTAAACAACATCGGTCCTTTAGGAAATTGAGCTATTTCAAACCCACATAGCATATGTAAGAAATGTACCATGTTACACAATTATTCAGAAACAAATACTTTCAAAGATTATAAAAAAATACAATAATACTTTATACTGAAAATACGAATAAAGTTTTGACTGTAATAAAAAGCATGTATGAACAATTCTTTCAAGCTAACAACTACAGATTAGATATAAATAAAATAATACTTTATATTGAAAATACCATTAAAATTTGGACTTTAGAAAAAAAACATGTTTTAACAATTCTTTAGAGCTAACAACTACAGATTGACAACATTGTACCATACATAAGTTCATCCATCCAATAATATAAAATTATATAACTTACATTGAAACTAAAACTGTGACTGTTTTAGCGCAAAAACTTAAGCATGCAATTTAATCAAATTTCATATTGGCACATCATACAAACTTGAAACTAAGTACGAAAAAATTACACAGAGCATTGCAGTTCTTGAGATTTATCTGTCTGAATTGTTATCTCCAATACTTCTTGAGTTATGCTTCAGAAAAAAAAATGTGTCAAAATATGTGCTCCATATGTGCACATATGCTCCATATGTGCATTTATGATTGCTATGCTCCATATGTGTCAAAATTCAAAGAACAAAAAGTGGTTTAAAGTCGGCAAACATTGCTGTAATCTTTTTAATAGTGTTTACATGCAAGTTTTTATTGTGTCTTTGATCTCTAGACTAGTGGACTGCATCTTATAAAAGAGAACACTACCCCAATCTTAAGAATGTATTAAAATAACTTCAGATATGTGTCTTTACTACTTTTGGTTGTATGCTACAATAAATAAAGAATTTCCATCATATACAAGAAAGGAATTATCCCCAACAAAACTGCACACAATCTGCTGTGACCTTGACCTTTGACCAAAGGGTCTTGATCTGCTGTGACCATGACCTTTGACCAAAGGGCCTGGATCTACCATGACCTTGCCCTTTGACCAAAGGATGTGGATCTGCTGAGACCTTGCCCTTTAACCAAAGGGTCTGGATCTGCTGTGACCATGACATTTGACCTAAGGGCCTGGGTGTTATACTTGTTTCATCATCCAATCATGATGGCCGAGTGAACAAATTATTAATGAAATCCATACACAGACCAAAGCTCCATTTAAGAAAATATAAGAAATATATGAGAAAGTTAAATCCCTTGCTGTGATCTTGACCTTTGATATAGTGACATAAGTCTTGGATAAAAGACATCATCTTTAATTGGAACCATATTAATGATGACATACCAAAATAAATGCCAAAATTATGAACTGGTCACTGGTCATATACTTTTCCCAACACACACATGCATGCACACCCAAGGACAAGGTTGTTTGTTTTCATTTATGACACCTTCCACAGTATTTATCATATAGGTGGGGTAGTTCTAACATTGTCTGGAGAGTTACAAGTATAAAACTCCCTCGCTAAAATACAAGCATTTCGGATTTAACCGCGCCAGAGAGTAATGATAAAGTCGTCTAACCTCGACACGAGTACGGACATTATGTACCCATACCATAAATGTGGAAAGTTACAAGTAAATACTCTAATGTTGAAGTTGAGTCCAAGAAAAATAATACATGGCCAAGCTGATAAACGTTGTTGTTGAGTAATGTAGAAGCCTTATCTATGATGGATAAATTACTTTTAAGTATACATATATACAACTTAAACAAATCATTACTGTCAAATAGGCCAAAAGCTGGTAGCTGGTCATATTGCTAAGCTGAAGAAAAACAATTACAGATTTGTAACTTTTCATCTAGGTTGAAGAAAGATAAATATATATTTGTAACTTTTTGATTAGCAAGGTCATCACCATTAGCAACTTCATCATTAACTAGGTCAAGGTTAAATCCCCCTACAGTTTAATTACACATATGGTAACAAGTCCTTTAACTCAAACCGAGTCAAAAACAATGCTGCCATTAACTCTTGAGGTACACTTACAGTAGCAAACATTAACTTTAAAGACAAACCTACATGTTGCTTTTGTAAAGACACATATTGCAAAAACATTTACATATATTTGTAAGAACATGTCCCAGAGTAAAAATATCTACAGGAATGTTTTTCCAGACATAATCACTGAAAACTTATATGCTTATAAATCATGTAAACAGTAAAGTTTCATGACGTAATCATGTTTACTTTAAGAAAAATAGTGCACAGCACAGAGGGTCCTATACCAATATAGTGACCAGTCAGTCAGCTCACAAACATTGCCATGATCTGTTCAATGTCTGGAGTCAACTTGAAAATCACTATATAATGCTAAGAAGTCTACCATGTCCTATTTCATATATAATGCCACACTTTTCTAGAAAATAATGGTAAAAGTTCAACGAGGAAAAAAATCATAATTGTTCAAAAAAAATTTGGAGCACTAAACCTGTATAATGCATGTTTCGTACATGTACACCACTAAATTTTAGCAGTCTGATAAAAACATTTTTTGCCTGCTCAGGAAGCAGTGGGAGGTCACTGTACTGTTTTGTCAGACTGCTGACATTTAATGGCATTGCTGACACTTAAAAAGATAAAGAAGGAACCAATTTATGAAAGATACAATATAAATGCTTGACTTAATTCAAATATTAAGAAGCACATAAAATCACATGTATTAAAGACACATTATGCCTCCGAAACCATTTAGTTTTGGCTTCTTTATAAATGGCAAACATGTGTTTTAAAATGTGAAAATAATGCTTTTTTACAGCATGCTAAATGCTTTTCACCTGAAGATAGTAGCGATGAATGTGAAATAAATTGTTATAAAGAAGCAAAATGTATTCAAAGTAGTATTTTGACTTCCATACAAAATAACTACAAGTATAACTGTACTAATTGCCAAAAAAGCAACAGAGCTAAAGATGGTTTAAGTAACTGACCAAATAGTAACTTTTTTGATATTATAGCAGGACATCGAAAATAAGAAGTATTTGAGTAATTAAAGCATTTCTGAGGCATAATGGGCCTTTAAAATTAATTCAAAAAGATGCATGCATATAAAGTTATATCTAAAATATATACACCTCAATAAATTTCTAATTGGCCGCCACCTTTTCTTATCATATCTTAAGAATAACATCAGGAGAAAAATATAAATAACCAAATATATGTTTAATATTGTTTATTCATTACCATTTACTTAAAGGAACAAACGTAACACAGAGTTTTAACAAGGTCACCCAAAAACTGCAAAATGTGTTATCACGCAAAGTTCAATTATTTTTCAATACCCTGTATCTCCACCCAGTGCAGAAATTACATAAAAGGACCATGTTCTCTCATTAATGTTATTGTGTCTTTGTGGATACTGTTGTGGAACAGGCCCAAACATCTGATGAAAAACGAGCCTAAGACCCTGCAACTTTTACAGCAAAACGTAACATGTAAAGCTGCCCCTTATGAGTAATTAGGCTTAACAGCCTTCTGTATTGCTCATTCTAGTTATGTTAAATGTTTTCAATAAATGACATTAAATGAAAAACACATTTGTACCAAAACAACAAATACCATGCTATGCATGAGATATACATGTAAACTGGCTATTTTGAGTATATTCATATGTGTTGTTTTGCATGAGTAACTTTGTTTTATTTTGTTTGACGGCGCACCAACACAATTTAGGTCATATGGCGCCAAAACAGGAAATATGATTTCGGGTGTTACAAACTTATAGCAACACCAGGTGTCAAAACCACCTCACCTGGAGCTAAGAGATGAATTATAAACAACAGTAATTCGAACCCATTAAGTCACCTCTTACAACCACCCTGGAATAAACAGTGGGGACAATTCTGATGTTTCCAACCTAAAAGGCAGCCTCTGAGCCACCAGGGGAGGGTGTTACTTGGTCCTTTCTGTGAAACAATAAGATGGAGAGTTCAATACTAAAATAACCATAGTTCAGATTTATTTACTTAGTAAATACATAGTGGCCAATTAGAAATTCCTTGTTGTGCACTTTGTTTATATTGTCATCCAGATCAAAAAGATTAGACTCAATAATTTACAGAATGTTAAGTTTCTGAAAGACTCCCTGATCTCAACTACTTCGAAAAGAAGACAACCAATACTGTTTTGAAACCTTTTTATATGCTTCTTAAAAGAGAGTCCCTGTTCTTTAAAATGATACATATGTTCAATTTCTGAAGTCAAGTTTAGCTATATATATATTATAAAAGTGACACAAGAATACATGAAAGTGACCAAAAAAAATTAAAAAAACACTTTGACACAAGTAGAAAATAAAAATGTAAAAAAAAATAATCCTAAAATCTTTCACCTATCAGTTTAGAAGTGAAATATAACATGTCTAATTCAAAAATACTGCCCCTCTTCTTTTATCACTCAAATGTTACAGATAGTTCAAAACATTTATAGAAATTCCCGAGAGTCATGTAGATGAATCAAATTGAACCAATAAGTAACCATTTTTTAAGTATATTTTGGAAAAAGATAGTACCAGTATATCCCCTTATAGGTAATTATTTGGGTATTTCATGAACAAAACAGATTTACCTCCCTTCAAGGTATATGAAATAATATAGTAAAATGCCTTTTTAAATCATAACACCCTAATTTTATGCATGAAATGCCCTCTATGAATGATCATTCTTTACAATATCACACTTTACAGACTAGTTTTTGTACTAAATTTGCAATTTTTGGACAGGTTAAAAAGTAAAGTCACCAAAAGTCACATCCATTGAAATGATACAAGATGATGATTCTTGCTTACATGCAGTTATTGATACACAGTGGACAATTCTCAATTTTATCTTGGAATGATCAAAGTCGCCTCAAGACACCTGCAAAATGTTAAAGGTGACCAACCACATTATATAATGAAACAGTTATTTTACCCACATTTAATAAAAATGACTATTTGGAATTTTCACATAAAAAACAATGTACCATAAAATTCCAATTAAACACCCTGGATGCTAAACATTGTCCATTGAAGGAAGGGGTGGACATTTATTAAAACACAAGTTTTTCCTAGATCCAAAAATCACTGTTAATATGTTGTGTTAAACAAGTTCTCTTAATAACATAAAAAAAGTTTTCAAAGTTTGTAAGTTTATCTGATACACTTTTTTGTTTACTACATGTACTATAAAAACTATAAAATACCACAGATTCAAAAGGTTTCGAATAAAATTACTTATTTACTCTTTGAGTTCAGCACTTACAAGTAGATTTTTTCCTTATCAAAAAACCAGGGGGTGGGGGGATTGATAAGAGAGGGGCATTTAATAGGAATTTTACTGTATATGAAAAACCTGAGAAGAAAAAAAAGAGTGAATTGAGAACATACTGTAAGAAAATTAAACAACAGAAAAACTAAACAACTGAGAAAAACACAATCCAAATTGACATATCTAATGATCTATATCTAAAACACAATAAATATAATGGAGAACTTGTATATATAAATATATAAACAATCAGGTTAGAACACAAAATTTGAATACATAGAAAAGTACTTAAAATACAATATCAACACTTTTTGGAACACCATTCAAAAAACAGCATTTTATATAAAAGACAAACCAAAAGGCTTGGTCCATTTTATAGAAACTACAAAACAAAAGACAATGAAGAAAAACCTTTAGAAAAACAGAGCACTCAGATATTAAGTAAATCAACTGAAAACATGTCATTTCATGAAATCCTTTTAAGTATGCAAAATAAAAAATATCTAAATTATTTCTCCTGTTTTTTAAAATGAAACATGATTTAAATGATTAATTTTTCATTAAAAAAATGCATGCAAACAGTAAAAAATGTCTTAAATCTTTGCCTTGTTTATTTTTCAGTTTGTTTGGGATTTTTTTAACCATGATTTTAACACATAATTTGTTCATATCTCATCAGGCGATCCACCTAACAAGCTTATTCTGGATAACTAACCAGTAATTACTGATTTCTCTGCAAGTGACCCACTACTAATTCTACATGATTTCTGAATTACCATTGACTGTGAGACTCAATGTCCTAAACAATAAAAAAAATAATTTCTATTGTCGTACAGAAGTTTTACATCACCCAATGCTCAGACCAGCCAGCTTCAAATATACTAATCCGACTTTTACAGTTACAGCCTCGAAAGTAAGCACAACAGGTTGACTTATCTTTGTGACCAGTAGTGCATTGTTAAGCTTTAACAGTAAGTTTGTTTGAACCTATGGTATAGCTGGTAAAAACCCACATTTACCGAGTTCAGGATAACATCAGATTGACTTGCTTTGATATGAAAATTGTAAAGATCATAATAAGTTTAAACTTTATAATGTATTTCAGTATCAAAAATTATAAATAAAAAATACAAAAATTTAAGTAACAAATAATTTAGAGCATTGTAAAAATGACCTACTTCTATACTGATGGCAAAGACTTTTAATCATTGGTGCTTACCATTTTAACAGTTTTTATTCAAATTTGTTTTTCCTTAAAGTTCACCTGCATTAAAAAAATCATTATAACATGTATAGTGAAATCTTCAATTTCCAGTCAGAGTTCGTACATCCAATGCCAAAATTCAAGCACTCAAATTCTAAGCACCTTTTAAGCATGTTTTCCCATTTTTAAAGCACAATTTGTTGCTCATACATCATTTGTTACCAATGATAAGGGAACTTGAATACACATTTTCCGGCCACCAATTTACAGTTTCTATAGAACAAAAGGGCATTATAAACTACAGTATATTTGTACCCAAACTAATTTGAATTAACTGCACTTTGTCCCCTAGTTGTTACAATGAGCAACAGTTCATTGATTTTGATACTAAATCAGATCTTTTTTTTGGGGGGGGGGGGGGGCTCTTTTGTTTACTGTTGAATTTACTGATTAATTTAACTTACGCTATGTCATTCAACCATTTTCAAGCACATTTGCAGCAAATTTAAGCACTTTTAAAGGCAGTAATCAAATTCAAGGACTTTTCAGCACTTTTTTAAGCACTTTTTATGAAAATGACTGAAATTTAAGCACTTTTAAAGACTGTACGAACCCTACCAGTGATAAAACAACTCACAAGAATCAATAAAATATAAAATCCACACATCATAATGTCTAGAATATCTACATATAAATATACATGTGTTCTTATAAATTGTAAAATTTTGTTGTCTATAAAGTTGTTAAGACAATCCATAACAATGCTATTTTCTAATATTAGGCATTTTCAAATCAGACACAAACTTAAGTTGGAATAAAGTAGACCAACTGTGCAAAAGTTCATAACAAATGAAATATCTTCAAAGTTGCACTTTTAAATTACCAGTACACATCAGTCCTCACATTCAAGCACATGAATGATCAATTATTTCATTCAGTTCAAAAACTGACCAATCAAAAGCTAGTCATAGAATGGTTCCAAATGTTATTCTCATATCAGCAATGAAAAATAAGATTTTCAAGTTTTGATAAAGAAAACCAGTCTGACAAAGAACAACTCTACCATTGGTCAATTTCAAAATAATTAGCCAATCAGAAGAAGCCTTATTTCTAACATTGAGATTTCAACATCATTCACTGAGATACTTTAAAAACAGATCAGTTGGCAAATATCCTCCGTTAGATTTGCTTTGTGTGTTATATATGTCCATTGACTGTACTTTTCTCACGTTTACGGAGATTATACTTTGGAGATCCCTTCAGGGAGCTAAACTGGTTCCCTGTATTTATTTTTGGAGAGGCTTTGAGCTGGGTACCATTTTTCACTTGCCGAACTGGTGTGGAGGGTTCTGAAGACTCGTATTCACATTTGTCACTGGCATCGTCAAATATCTGAAGAGGTAAAAATAATTCAACTGAAAAAAATCTTAATCTTAAACATTCTTCAATAGCCATTATTGCATTAAAGTTTAGCATTATGTATGGTTAAAGTTTTATTAGTACGTATTTACAAAATTAAGTTGGTCAGGCCACACGACCAATTTAATTTTGTAAATGCATACTAATAAATTTTAACCGGCTTAGTGTTTTAAATTATTTTTACAGACATTCAATTTACTAGAATGATTAACAGTTTGCAGATTTACCAAAGTATTGTGTTACGATTCATTTGAAATACTGTAATCCTATTGGACAAAAAAATAATTTCAAACACTTATTCTATATAAACTTTATATAATAAACCTTCTCAATAAGTAAATGCGTTACATTTATACCTACAAGATGCCCAATATATGAATGCATTATATAAAAAGATTTAAACTGTTTGTTTAGAGGGGCCTTCAACTTTCCTAAAGGTTTAATTTGTTTGTTTTTTACATAAATTGTTTCATAAAATTGTCAAATTAAAGATTTAAGTTACCGGTATTTTCAGAAAGTTATAACATCGCAACCTTTAAAATTGGAAGTGCAACCAAAAATTCACACCATTCATATTGACAAGTTGATAAGTACTGGTGTGTATGTTGTCACTTTGGCAATAACAAGTACAGGTGTGTAGTAACATTGAAACTTTGGCAGTAACAAATACTTGTGTGTAACATTGGCACTTTGGCAGTAATAAGTACTGGTGTGTAACATTGGCACTTTGGAAGTAGCAAGTACTAGTGTGTTACATTGGCACTTTGGCTTTTGTTTGTTTGTTTTGGGTTTTACGTCACATCAACACAGTATAGGTCATATCGCGACGTTCCAGCTTTACTGGTGGAGGAAGACCTCAGGTGCCCTTCCGTGCATTATTTCAGGCACGAACGGGCACCTCAGTAGAACCACCGACGTTCCGTAAGCTAGCTGGATAGCTTCCTCTCATGAAAGAATCAAAAGTCCCTGTCGGGATTCTAACCCACAGCGGTGAGGGGCAAGTGGTTTGAAGTCAACGACCTTAACCACTTGGCCACAGACGCCCCATCTTTGGCAGTAACAAGTACAGGTGTGTAACATTGGCACCTTGGCAGTAACAAATACTGGTGTGTAACATTGGCACTTTGGCAGTATTAAGTACGGGTGTGTAACATTGGCACTTTGGCAGTATTAAGTACAGGTGTGTATCATTGGCACTTTGGCAGTATTAAGTACGGGTGTGTAACATTGGCACTTTGGCAGTAACAAGTACAGGTGTGTAACATTGGCACTTTGGCAGTAACAAGTACTGGTGTGTAACATTGGCACTTTGGCAGTAACAAGTATTGGTGTGTAACATTGGAACTTTGGCAGTAACAAATACTGGTGTGTAACATTGGCACTTTGGCAGTAGCAAGTACTTGTGTGTAACATTGGAACTTTTGCAGTAGCAAGTACTGGTGTGTAACATTGGCAATTTGGCAGAAACAAGTACTGATAAATAACATCTGCAATTTGGCAGTAACAAGCACTAGTGTGTAACATTGGCACTTTGGCAGTAACAAATACTTGTGTGTAACATTAACACCTTGGCAGTAACAAGTACTGGTGTGTAAGTTGGCACTTTGGCAGTAACAAGTACTGATGTGTAACATTGGCACTTTGGCTGTAACAAGTACTGATGTGTAACATTGGCACTTTGGCAGTAACAAGTACTGGTGTAACATTGGCACCTTGGCAGTAACAAGTACTGGTGTGTAACATTGGCACTTTGGCAGTAGCAAGTTCTGGTGTGTTACATTGGAACTTTGGCAGTAGCAAGTACTTGGTGTGTAACATTGGCAATTTGGCAGAAACAAGTACTGGTGTGTAAGTTGGCACTTTTGCAGTAACAAGTACTGATGTGTAACATCGGCAATTTGGCAGTAACAAGTACTGATGTGTAACATTGGCAATTTGGCAGTAACAAGTTCTGGTGTAACATTGGCAATTTGGCAGCAAAAAGTACTATTGTGTACGTTGGCACTTTGGCAGTAACAAGTACTTATGTGTAACATTGGCAATTTGGCAGTAACAAGTACTGGTGTGTAACATTGGCACTTTAGCAGTAACAAGTACAGGTGTGTAACATTGGCACTTTGGCAGTAACAAGTACTGGTGTGTAACATTGGCACTTTGGCAGTAACAAGTACTGGTGTGTAACATTGGCACTTTGGCAATAACAAGTACTGGTGTGCAACATTGGCACTTTGGCAGTAACAAGTATTGGTGTGTAAAATTGGCACTTTGGCAGTAACAAGTACATGTGTGTAACATTGGCACTTTGGAAGTAATAGTACTGGTGTGTAACATTGGCACTTTGGCAGTAATAAGTACTGGTGTGTAACATTGGCACTTTGGCAGTAACAAGTACTGGTGTGTAACATTGGCACTTTGGCAGTAATAAGTACCTTACTAGTGTAACATTGGCACTTAGGCAGTATTAAGTACTGGTGAGTAACATTGGCACTTTGGCAGTAATAAGTACTGGTGTGTAAGTTGGCACTTTGGCAGTAACAAGTTCTGGTGTATAACATTGGCACTTTGGCAGTAACAAGAACTGGTGTGTAGCATTGGCACTTTGGCAGTAACAAATACAGGTGTGTAACATTGGCATTTTGGCAGTAACAAGTACTGGTGTGTCACATTGGCACTTACAAGTACTGATGTGTAACATTAGCACTTTGGCAGTAACAAGTACTGGTGTGTAACATTTGCACTTTGGCAGTAACAAGTACTGGTTTGTAACATTGGCACTTTGGCAGTAACAAGTACTAGTGTAACATTAGCACTTTGGCAGTAACAAGTACTGGTGTGTAACATTGGCACTTTGGCAGTAACAAGTACTGGTTTGTAACATTGGCACTTTGGCAGTAACAAGTACTAGTGTAACATGGGCACTTTGGCAGTAATAAGTACTGGTGTGTAACATTGGCACTTTGGCAGTAATAAGTACTGGTGTGTAAAATGGGCACTTTGGAAGTAACAAAGACTGGTGTTTCACTAGTTTGTTTGATTTGGTATTATCTGGTTTTATGATACATCAGCACAGTTTAGGTCATTTTGCTCCAAAACAGGAAAAACTATTTTGGCTAAACTCAAATGTTAAACAAGAGCTGTCGGTAGGACAACAACGCTCGACTATTCTTAGTGCTTGAAAGTAAAAAAAATGCTTGATACAGTTACCTCCTCCTGTTTACAGGTTGGGGTCATGATGGTGAACAAGTGTGCAAAGTTTCAAAGCCATATGTCAATGGACTTTGAAAATATTTGAACTATTACAAAAAACTTTAACGTAAATTCTAAGTCGAAAAAGGGGCATAATTCTGACAAAATGCTTGATAGAGTTACCTCCTCTTGTCTACAGGTTGGGGTCATGATGGTGAACAAGTGTGCAAAGTTTCAAAGCCATATGTCAATGGACATTGAAAATATTTGAACTATTACAAAAACTTTAACGTAAATTTTAAGTCGAAAAAGGGGCATAATTCTGTCAAAATGCTTGATAGAGTGACCTCCTCCTGTCTACAGGTTGGGGTCATGATGGTGAACAAGTGTGCAAGTTTCAAAGCCATATGTCTATGGACTTTGAAAATATTTTGAACTATTACAAAAACTTTAACATAAGTGGTTACGCCGACGTGGACGGCCGACGCTCGGGTGACTGCAATAGCTCTACTTATTCTTATCGAATAGTCGAGCTAAAAATTAAAGCAACACCAGAGGTCAAAACCACCTCACTTGCTTGAGCTAAGAGACACATAGACTCCCAATAATTTGAAGCAATTTAGTCCCTTTTTACAATCACGTAGGGACAATCTGTGGCTGTAACTCTGATGCTTCGACCCAAAAAGGCAAGTCCTCAACAACAACTTTGGTAATAAGTACTGGTGTGTAACTTAACCCATTGCTTCATGAGCATTTTGTGAAAAATGGCTGTTTTCATTGAAAAGTCTCCCGTTACAAGTTCAAATTGCTATAATACTATAAAAACTGCTTCAACACTAATCAAACTTGGCACAAATGTTGACTGGACCATTGCCCTTGCAACAGCATTCTCAGGCTTAAATTTTCTGTTACCATGGCAACGAGGGGACATCTCAAAATTGCCAAAAATCACTATTTTGCGTTGATTTTTTCCATCAAAATTGATTTCAAAGTGCTGCAACTTCTCAATGGATTGAGATAGAGTCAAATGCTTTTCAGCGTTGGTTACACGTTACCTTATGATCAATCTGGGGTCATTTACAGCCTCTCACAAGTCCAAAATTTTCTTGGCGATGAGGGGGACTCCGCCCCCCTTCAAACTCCCCAAACAGAAGGGGGCACATCCCCCTTCTGGCAACCCCCTGATGTATCTTTTGGTTGGGGGGCCGCGCCGAAAAAGAGGTCACTTTTTTTAACAAAATTTCTCAAACAAAAACAAGTGTTTGGGGCCTTAATACGGCATTTTTTCATCATTTGAGACAACAAAAAGGGGGGGGGGGTGAAAAAGGCGTTAAAAGGCGTGTATATGAAGTAATGGGTTAAGCCGTAACAAGTACAGTTGTTGAAGTTTTGGAGCAACAAATATTGGTGTTAATAATTAACAATTGTGATCACTGATCTGTGCATGGTGCTGAGGTATGACAACAAAATTATGTTTCTAATCATAAAACTAATTTTGGTTAGTACCAACAAATGTGAGCAGAATACTTCAGAGTAAAGAAGAAATTTTAAAATAATCAAAATGTGAGTTTCAACATAAGAATTTAAATGTACATTTTCTATCAGTTTTTAATAAAGATTTGTACATCAAACCTTTCTTGGATTCTTTATAACATTTCAACAGAATTTCCTGTTCCTTTTGTAAGCAAAAAAAAAACAAAAAACAATCACTAGATATTTTACAGCTCAAGACTTTAATAAATAAAATCATCATTTGATTTAGTAGATACCGATTTCACATCAAGGCTGGTAAGGTCACAAGGCAACTTTCCTACTTGACTGGTGCATTAAAACCTATGGTATGCCTCAGTGGATTGTTTCATGTACAGGGAAGTACCCGAGTTCATGTACAGGAGAGTACTCTAGTTCATGTTCAGGGAGTATTCAAGTTACTGGTGCAGGAAAACCTATGGTATGCCTCAGTGGATTGTTTCATGTACAGGGAAGTACCTGAGTTCATGTACAGGGAAGTACTCAAGTTCATTATTAGAAGAAACAAGTTAATGTCAAACGGTGAGTACTTGATTCATGAAGGGAGTACTCTATTATGTTCAGGGATATTAATTAATGTAAGGAAAATATTAAAATTATGTAAGCATGTCCCAGTTATGTAAGGAGGGGATTATTGCATGTAAAAAGATAAAAAAAAGGATAGTGCTCAAATTTGTACTGGAGATATTGAGAAAACTAATTTCTTAAAATAGATTTAAGTTCTTCCCTTTTAAAAAAAATCAAAATTGAATTGCCATATAACAGCTTTAAGTAAAAATAACCAGTGGTTTAGGGTTATATATTTCATCAACAACAAAAAAAAATATTGAACATTTTTCAAAACTTTTTGGGGGTATTTATATAAAATGTTGTAGTATAAAGATTACAATGAATTCAAGAAGAAAGCAGTTTGTTACACAACTAGTCTACAAGCAGAGAAGAAATAGCATAACACAAATACTATTATTTTACGGCGGTTTGCATCAATGAGATAACAAATATGTGAAGAAGGCCAAAAAGTATTATACTTAATTTAACCTTCAACTTCCTGAACAATGAAAAAATATTAAACCTTGACTTGGTTTTTTGTTTTTTTTGTTTTTTCATGCCAATTTTAAAGGGAGACACAGGCAAAATTTTCATTTCTTAGTTTTGAAATTTTCATTCATTATTCTGTAAATGTCCTCAAAATGAATACACTAAACAGTCAAAGGAACAAAACTTTTCTCCATATAAAGAATAAAAATGGTGTTTTCCTAACTTGACCCGCGTGGGTCAGGTTAGAGGGCTAAATTTTCACAATAGTTGTCACTCTGTACTCTGGAAATGTTAAAAAAACATGTCAAATCAATTAGACTTGTTTCAATCATACAATATCCACAATATTTGTTATTGTAACTTCCAGGGTTTGTTCAAATCGCATGACTTGTTTTTAAACTATTCGGTGATTCTGTTCGCGTCAAAATTTCGTTCAACATATATAGATATATTTAAACTTCAAACCCAAAATATATAGAATTTATAGAGAAATTCATGTTGGGACTTTAAGAAATGACATTTTAGGGTGATTTGAGTACAGAAAACCATTTTTATATTTTTGCCATTATTTTGCCTGAGAATCCCTTTAAGACATTTTTAACTATTTGAACAATTAAAAAATATCAAACTTCCACTTGTTTTCTTTGTTTGTTTTCTTATGCCAATTTTAAGACAGAACAATTAAAAAATAATTTAAACTTTGATTTCCAATTGTTTTCTTTGTTTGTTTTCTTATACCAATTTTTAGACATTTTATTAGTCATATAATTTCTCTGACAGGAACCTTCTACTAATCCTATGATTTCTTATTCTAGGCCAATGACCATATGACTCTCTGTCCGAGATCAGTCATAAATAAGTTATATTGTATCATGTGTACTGTCAAATAGAAATTACGCCTTCCGCAAGAATCAAACCAGTGACCCCTGGATCACTGGTTGCTCGATTAAGGAGTTTCGATAATCAAGTATTAAAAGTGAGAAGCTGATAGTATAGACTCTGAACAGATAGCTAATGACCGAAGCTGGCTTGTTACTTTAAAAGTGATACATTCAAATTATCATTGTTCTTTCTGTATTCCTAGCTGTTTGGTGGAGTTGGCATTGATAGTTTTCACTCCGGATCACAACAGTAAGCCACAATTGAATTCACTAGAGAACAGTTCAACTACTGCATTATTCTTTGGCAGACTGTCAAGCAGTTTACGAGTACTTGTTGCCTTCTCTTTCACATAACTTCTGTACATGCCGGAGCAGAGGTACAGTGAGAAAGACTGTAGAAAGGATTCTATTCTGATCAATCTCAACAAAAGTGACCTACACCATCCTGGAATCGAAACCAGGTCATCAGATTAACAGCTACTGAGCTATCCAGACAGCTTCCCTTACATGCTTTATAACTTAAATAGACTGGTCCATTATTTTTCAATCTGGATAAACCATTGGTCATATTCACGAGAATATGTCAAAATAAGTATTGACTGAAAAGGGAACCGTGCTAACCAAGATCAGGCAACACAGATCTCTGTTTTATAGTACACAAAAACTGGTGACCTTGTCTAATTTGACCAGGACAACTTAAGGTATTTCAATGTTCTGTTATATTTAATTGGCACAACAAAAACATACATTAAGTGATTTAATAGTACCAGAAGATTTGAATAATAAAAACTTTCACTAGCTGCCAAATTAAATCATAACTACCCATCTTCACATACAGCTAACTCTAAACCTAAAGTTTGAAGGCGAAGTGAGATATTTTATTTTCTTTGAAAAGGAAGAAAATTTTATTCTACTTCAATGAGAGTATGTTAAAATCTCAATTAAGACTCTAAAAAGAACAGAACAGTGTTAAATTCATTTTTCTATACATTGTAAAGAATTGTCATAAACAATCTATGAGTCTCTACAGACTACTAGGGGTGTAACAATACAGCAAAAACTGTATTGCAATATATTGCCATTTTGCTGAAGCGAATTGCAATATATTGCAATACGTATTGTCGTGTAGGGGCCTATATGTTTTGATGTAAAGATGGAGTAACATTTATATATTATTATTATATGTATATTTTTTTAGTAGAAACTTAATAAAAATGTAAGGAATAAATAGAAAGTAGTGTCACACAATTTGATCAACAAAACTAGTCGCGTGTGACCTTTCACATCTGGGCCGCTTATGTAAATTATGCGGCCGCTTATTGACTTTCAAGTGTACTAGTTGTCGGATACTTTTATCTTATGTTGGCGCCAACAAAATTTGCCAATTAAAGATTTTATGTGAATTTGTACAAAATTAGAAGGCAATTAATTGAAAATGATGATTTTTATAAAATACCGGTTTTCCAAAAATCGTACCGCGGTTCGAAATTTATTTTTTCATATTGCAATATATCGGTATACCGGTAAACCGTTACACCCTTACAGACTACTGACAAGATTATCCATATGAAGAGATTCAAATACATGTACAAAGTAACAGGAAAGAGAAGAGAGTAAGTTAAATTCTTTAAACCTTTTATTAGGGCTTACATTCCAAATAAAACCAAACTTGAAAACCAGTCTATGCATAGTAACTTATCATTGGTCGATTTCAAACTTGGAAACAGATGTCAACCAATCAGATGAAAGCATGAGGTTGACTGGTTCACAAGTTAGTTTTTTTTATCTACTTTTTAAGTTTACATGAAGAAAGTTAACACACAGTGAGAGGGTTTCTTACCTTCGTCTTCTTAATTATTCCCTACCAAACAATGAAACAACAAAAATAACACACATAAATCAACAAATAAATCATAGATCAGTCATAGGCGGCCAGAAGTCAAAACTCATCTTAAAAATTTCCCTAACCACTTCACTGAAATTAAATCAAATCTTAATATTTAAATAGTTTAAAATTTCAGTTTTACCCTGAGATATATAAAGTAATTGTCTCTTTATACTGCAGACTTTCATTCAATGTTAACCAAATGCACAAAATAGTAAAAAATGTGAATTTGTCAGTTAAATAATTTTAAAGCAGCATTCCTCCAGATTCATGCTAATTTTCATGAAAGTTTTGAAAATTTATTGAAAAGTATAATATTACGAAGTCATCAAAGAAATTAATTTACACATTGCAAACAGTGCTTACAATCCATGTAAATTACCAAAAAGAGATAAAAAAAATCCACACAAAAAAAGCCATTTCTGCATTAGTAATGCAATAAAAATATGGTGATCAATACTGCAAAATCAGTCATTAATCACATATAATATGTAAATTATTACTTGAATCTTCAATCTTTTTTACCTTTTCTTTAAATCTTAGTACAGTTTTCTTAAGATTGAAATTATTGAAATATTTTTACTCATCTGGAGGCATGCAACTTTAAGAGTGTTTGACTTTTGGCTGATTAAAACAATGATCTCATGCAATTGCAATAAACATATCCCATGCTTAATAGATATGCATGCATAAAACTTTCTGGTACTATAGAAACTATACTTCTTCTATGTCCTAGTTTCACCCATTTGCTTCTTTTCACATACACCATTTCTAAACCATCAATTTTTTTAGGGTTTATGTTATACATTATCAGACCATTTAAAAAGCATATGCCAGTCTGAAAAATTCTTTTAAAATCATACTTTTCCCCTAGAAATCAGTTAGCATTGAGTTGTTTTTCTTCCACTTTTGCAAAAATAACATGTAACTTCAAAAGTCTCAAAATGTGCAGCTAAAATGCACCAGAAGCCACCATTTAACATGTAGATTTCTTTTATTTTTTCCTGGGAATGAATGTAGTGCGCTTTTACACTGTTTGTAAATTGCAAAATTTTTAAGATGGCATGTCAAAATTTATGCAAAACACCTTTTTAACCAAGTCGCAAAAGTGCAACAGTATATGATAATTGATAAAGGCATTTTCCCTCCTCAAATCAGTAGTACTTTCCCTTTAACTGCTATATATTTTGTGTTTTCTCATTTTTTGTTTAATAACCTTTTATTTATTTTGTATCAATAGTTATTTCCCTTTATATCTAATCTTCTATGTCATTTCTTCACAGTTGTCTCCCCTTAATTTTCTTCTAGAGCAGTCTGTTTCACAATTAAATCTTTAGAATCTGGAGCTATGTTTATGCAAGAACAGTATGTTTATGCAAGAAGAGTATCATATTATTAGATTAAGAATTTTAGGACAAAAGCTTTTATCTGCTATTATACCTTTTAGATTAAGGATTTTAGGACAAAGGGTTTTATGTGCTGTTATACCTTTTAGATTTAGAATTTTAGAACGGAGGGGTTTTATGTGCTGTTATACCTTTTAGATTTAGAATTTTAGAACAGAGGGGTTTTATCTGCTGTTATACCTTTTAGATTTAGAATTTTAGAACAGAGGGGTTTTATGTGCTGTTATACCTTTTAGATTAAGAATTTTAGAACAGAGGGGTTTTATGTTATACCACACAAGAAACTTTATATTTTTGTTAAACAGCAAAATGTATATATATACATGTATGTATTTCATAAAGGATTAATTTGTTTTAAGTTTAAGTCAGCTGTATAGCTATAAAAACATATACCTTGATCAAGCTATAAACATTCAATGAACATTTCAATGATACAAAGTCTGGTTATAACTTACTAGAGGGAAAAACAGTTTGGTAACAGTTTTTTATTAAAAGGATCATACACTGACTGCCAGTACAGAATATCTAGCTTGAGGGTAACTGTTAACGGCAGTAACAATGCTCTAGCTGAGATTCAGCTAAACAGTTACCTAAAAGCTAGATATTCCGGTCTGTGACGACAGGCGGTATTTGATGCTTTTTCTTACATATAACTTTTTCTTGCATATAAGATCTTAATAATTTTGGAAAAAATTGAGATCACTAATTATTTTCATTTAGCACTTTTTTCGTATAGTAGTGTATGTATTTACAACTTCATTCAAAATGGTTTCATTCTAAAAGCGCAATTCATTTATTAAAGGTGCGCGGGAATGACGTCATTTAAAGTAGAAGACTTGTCTTACACAGGGCAGGGGGGTGTAAGACGGGTTTTTCCAGCACTGGTGTAAACTGTAGATAATCCTGTCTGATATGCAAGAAATATACAACTATATTTATAAACAATGTACCAAAAGTCCCTTAAGTGCACAGGAAAAAAAATCCACAGATGCAGAAAAAAAAAATTGAAAAAAATAATTTTTTCAAAAAAAATCTGAATTTTTGAAATTAAAAGGGGATGTAAGCCAAGGTGTCAGCCCAACAACGTTGTGTCAGCTTCAAAAGGAAAGCAGACGGTACATGCATTTACGTAAAAAATCAAGCAAACATTCCTTACACCTATACTTTATCTAATAATTATTTCATGCATGGAGGGTAGACGAAGATTTTTAGAAACAATGGATAAATAAAATTTCACACCAATATTTTACATGAAATTGAGAGAATTTTCATATATTTTTTCAAAGTTGCTATTTTAATTTTTCTATTTTATGTTTCTTCATTAAGGTGAAAAAGTCAACACCATTTCATATATTAGGACATGTTTAAAAAAACATGTTTTGGTCAGCGTTTTTTTCTTTCTCATAATTCTATTAGTCCAAAACCCTTTCTCATTGAAATTTCTGGTTTTTACTTTTAAAAATTGTCAATAGTTACTTTTATAGATGTTCAAATCACAAAATTTGTTACATGAAAATATATGCAGTCTTTTAAATAATTCTAAAGCCTAAGGAAGGTTTTGTTTACTGGGAAACTTGTTTTACAGGCAGCTTCAATACTGTATAAGTCAATTCTCATGCATTTCTTTTTCCTTTCTAACAATAAAATTGTCCCATAAAAATTAAAGAAAAAAAAGCACCATTAAACCAATTTTTTTTAGTTGGATTTAACTTAAAAAATATACATGTATACACTTGAAAATTTGTGACATCACTTCAATAAAGTGAGCATTATTTCTACTTAGGGAAATATAAATGCAACTTGAGTACAATGCAACATGATAAACAATTAAATAAACTTTGTTAACTAACCTTCCAACATTTTCTGGCATAAACCACACACAAATATACACATAGGCAGCTGCTTAATGTCTGGAAAATAAAAACAAAAACAGGTGAAAAAAAAAATGTTTTCACCTGCTAAAAAATTGAAAATCGCTATTTTGGGAAGCTAGTATTTTTCCCCCTACTGATAACCCCCCCTTTAAAAAATTACCTGGCATTCCCCCCTTTTTCTGTAGTATCCTTTTTAAAAATAAAATTTAGAAACCCAAAAGGGTGGGATTGTATAATCTCTTTTTCATTCCCGCCTTTTAAACTATAAAATAGCAGAAAATTTACACCAAACCCCAGAATGACACCAAACTCAGACATGAACCCCACCTCAAAACATGACACCACCCTCAAATCATACCCCCCCTCAGACCAAAGCACTACCTCAGGGCATGAACAAACCTCAGGAAAATGACACCCCCCTCAGAAAAAATGACACAACCCTTTAGACATGAAAACCCCCTCAGACATGACACCAAACCCCAGACATGGGCCCCCCACCCTTTAAAAACATGAACATCACCTCAGTCATGACACCACCTCAGACATGACACCACCTCAGACATGACACCACCTCAGACATGACCACCACCTCAGTCATGACACCACCTCAGTCATGACACCACCTCAGACATGACACCACCTCAGACATGACATAACCTCAGACATGACACAACCTCAGACATGACACAACCTCAGACATGACACCACATCAAGACATGACATCACCTCAGACATGACTTTACCTCAGACATGACACCACCTCATACATGACAACACCTCAGACATGACACCACCTCAGTCTTCAAGTGGTTGTGGTATTGGTAGTTTACTCTCCAGATCTCAGCAGTAAGCCAACATTGAATTTACTAGAGCATCTCTGTCTTCACAAGAAGATCTGTTTGTTTTATACCAAAGAGCAGTTAAATTGAAAAAAGATCATTTTTATTTATAAAGATGTCTGGTTGGGTTATATGGTTGTGTGCCTGATTCACAGTTGAACGCTCTACCTATTGAGCTAACAGGATGGTGCTTTCGTGCAGTGATGAAATTCAATACATAATATATACCATTCACATAATTATTCAATACAAAACATAGGGTTTCAATTAATTTGTACCTGAATAATCAGCCATGTTAAAACATATGTAATTTCTGTCTGCTGGAAAAGCTCCATTCCAAACTTCAAACAGATGATGGCTTCTGTAAATGTGATAGCGCTGTGAACAGAAAAAGTTTTTTGTTATTGACATTGATGACTTATCTTTACATATTCTAACAAGATTGTTTACACATGAGACGCGCCATGACAAAACCGACATAATGTGTTTGCGACCAGCATGGATCCAGACCAGCCTGCGCATCCGGGCAGTCTGATCAGGATCCATGCTGTTCGCTATCAGTTTCTCTATTTGTAATAGGGTTTGCAAGCGAAAAGCATGGATCCTGATCAGACTGCGCGCGCAGATGCGCAGGCTGGTCTGGATCCATGCTGGTCACAAAGGCATTATGTTGGTTTTGTCATGGCACGACTCATTTTATTTAAGTTTTGAATTATTAAGTTTTTCACTGGGTTATCTACAGTAGATACATTGTATATGAAAACATAAAAAAATTCAATATTAATCTTCAAAGCTGACAAAAGTCGAAGAGGAAACAACACACGTTGGTAGGACAACATGCTTGACTATTCTCTGTGTTTAATAGTAAAGCAAGAGCCTGGATAATGTAAAAAATTTTAAGTTCAAAGTGCCTTGATAATGTAAAATTGTTTAAGGTCAAAAATGACCAATTCTGTCAAAATCTATATCAGTGTTATTAGCCATGGATTAAGTGACCTCCTATTATGCTCTTAAATAAGTGATTGAGGTTTCAACCCAGCCCCTTCAGTAGTAAGACATACCATAGCACGTAAAAATTTAACCAAAGTGTGAACCAACGCTTGGGTGCAATAAAATAGCTCTCCCTATTCTACAAATAGCCTAGCTAAAACTATTATTACCACTTCTTTGGTTTTGTGTCTTTTGTAACAACTTCTATGGTTGTCTTTTGTATAACTAAAGACCCAAGATGCTGACCTCTCAAGAACATGATTTCCAGTACTATATAAACAATTTAAAGTGAAAGTCTCTGGTCCCAAAATAACAATTGTAATTAGAAAGCATGTTGGACATGCTTTTAAAAATTCCTCTTAAAGGCTTTTAAAGAAATGCTTTTATTTAATTTCTCAAAACCTTTTTGATATTAATGTACTAAGATAATATCCAAAAAGTTGCTCATTGGTCAATTACCTTAAAATCTTTTTTCCTCTGTTGCTTTTTGGCAATTAGTACAGTTATAGTGAATAAGTATTTTGTATGAAAGTCAAAATATTTTTGTTTACATTTTGCTACTTTCATAACAAATTATTCAACATTTATCACTTATTCCTTCAGGTAAAAAGCATCTAACATTCTCTTAAACCATTATTTAAACATGATAAAATTCATAAAATATGTTAGCCCTTTCTAAAGAAGTAACAATTAATTTGATTCTAAGGCATACTGTGCCTTTAAAAATACTTAAATTAGAGAGACAATATTGGTTTTTTTGTTTTTTTTCTAAAATAAAATATATAAAGATCTCATCATTTACCAGAACATCCAGCATTGTGTTCCCACTCGTTTACATCTCGTATCTGTTACATACACATAAAACTGTCTGTAAATATAACATAAATTTATAGTACTTTTGATAGTAAGAATTTATTGTTTTTAAGAAATGTCATTATTCAAATTCATGCATTAAAGAACTTAAAAATAAAAGTTACATGTTTCCAGGACTGATGAGTAGAGGTTTGATTAAATGTTCATTTCTATAAATAGATGATTGGGTAACGAATTGTCTATTTTACTAATAAACATATAGAGAGTGGACCGGTTGATTAGAGGTATCAAGGGGTTTCCTTATTGTTTATGTATTTTATGATAGTTAACCATAAACATGTTGTATTTGTGTAAAGGATCTACCTTGCTTTAAATTTGGAACAGTCTATGCAATGTTAAGGGATTTATATATTTTAAAATACAATTATTAAGCTTTAAATATTATAGAGCATGGTAAGACAGAACACAGAGGAATAGGCTGGCCTTGCTCTATACTGGTGAAAAAGGCTTATCATGTTGGGTTCCAGTAGTTTAACACTGAACATGGAGGAACAGGCATGCCTGACCCTATACTGGTAGCAAAGTACTTGTTTTTCAACCCACACTTAAGACTGAACACATAGGGATAGACTGGCATGAAATTACTAATCACATTGGGTTCTAGCAGTTTCAGACTGAACACAGAGGAACAGGCTTGCCTGGCTCTATACTCATGACAAAGGCTTATCATGTTTGGTAACAGCAGTGTAAGGCTGAACACAGAGGAACAGGCTTGCCTGGCTCTATACTCGTTACAAAGGCTTATCATGTTGGGTACCAGCAGTGTAAGGCTGAACACAGAGGAACAGGCTTGCCTGGCTCTATACTCATTACAAAGGCTTATCATGTTGGGTACAAGCAGTGTAAGGCTGAACATGGAGGAATAGGCTGGCCTTGCTCTATACTGGTGAAAAAGGCTTATCATGTTGGGTTCCAGTAGTTTAACACTGAACATGGAGGAACAGGCATGCCTGACTCTTTACTTGTGGCAAAGTACTTATTTTTCAACCAGCACTTAAGACTGAACACAGAGGGATAGACTGGCATGATTGGGTTCTAGCAGTGTAAGACTGAACACTGAGGAACTGGCTGGCCATGCTCTATACTTGTGACAATGACTAATCACATTGGGTTCTAGCAGTTTAAGACTGAACACAGAGGAACAGGCTTGCCTGGCTCTATACTCATCACAAAGGCTTATCATGATGGGTTCCAGCAGTTTAAGACTGAACACGGAGGAGCAAGCTGGCTAGCATGTATGGTTCCAGGAGGTTTTTATGGTGAACACTTACCTTATAGTTGGTGCAGATACACTGCTAATGAGAGCCAGTCTGATCCAGTTTAGTGCATGAGGAGGTGGTATCTCAAATATATGCTTCAGGAAAAATGTGTTCAATTCTGCAAGCTATAAATAAATGCATTGCTTGATATAATTATATAATGGGCAAAAATCTGTCAGGAAAAAAAATATACTTAAGCCAAAGTTATATGCAATACAAATGTAACATGCTATCCAAAAACATATTACCTTTTCACTTCATTATATAAAATATTTTGTTTGTTTAATTGAGTTTTACGTCACACCGACACAGTATAGGTCACATGGCGACTTTCCAGCTTTACTGGTCGAGGACGACCTCAGGTGCTCTTCCGTGCATTATTTCAGGCACAAATGGGCACTTCAGTAGGACCACCAATGTTCCGTAAGATAGCTGGATAGCTTCCTCACATGAAAGAATCCAAAGCCCTTGTTGGGATACGAACCCACAGCTGTGAGGGGCAATGGACGCCCCATTATATACAATATAATGATAAAGATTGGATATGAAAAAGCTCATTTTATCTTTATTTTTTAACTTTACTGAAAATATTTTGAACTGAAAAACTTAGACTTTCAGTCTTTTATTTTCCTGTTGAATGCATGAACTTTAAAGACATTCTTGGATATTTTAATATAGTTTATATAGATATAAAGGCAGATTTAAAACTGTTCAATAAAATTTCTTTTAACTCGGCATGTTCTTGGAATATCATAACAGAAATTCTTTGAGCGAAAAAAAAGAAGCTGAGTGTCACCCATCTCATTTTTGAGTTACCTCCCCCTGAATTTGACTTTTTTGCTTAATTCAAAGGCAAATGTTTCTGTTAACATATTCTAACAAAATGCAAAATCTAAAGAAATTTTATTGAACAGTTTTGATTCTGCCTCTTTACTTTGAAAGCGTCTTAAAGTCATCACCTTGTGGTCATTGGGTTTGAAATCCCACGTAGAGCCGGATTGGTTTTTTTCTGATAAATTAGCATCTTTGGCTTTATCATAAATTAAAAATGCCTTTAGAAGACCTATTGAAAATAAAAGTATGCCCATAAAGCAAGTTTACCTGCCATACCACGATCAATATTGTTACCGCCACAAATCTCATATATCCTGAGTTAGGGTCTAACCATCGTACATGTGTCCACGTAGCTGGCGTGAACTGTAACACAGCTCGTCGAATTTTACCCGTTGTCGAATGAATATCTCTGAAGAATACAAAAAAAGTGTTTTTTTTTTTATTTAATTCTATATAGAAAATATATTATACAGTGGAACCAGTCTCATCCGAACTCGTCCTGACCAAAAGAAAAGTTTGGATTAGACATGTTTCCAGATTAGAATGGTTGAGATACAATTATTTGTAACAATATAGATACAAATTGACTTTCAAGCATCAAATTTCAGTTAAATGTTAGTACCGGTATTGATCAATAATTGTTGTTTTCTCATACAATTTGGTGATTAACCAGATTCACGGACAGTTTTCCTTGAATTGTCACAAAAGTGGTGGCCTAGTGGTTAAGGTGTCTGCCACTCAAACCAGGGGTGATGGGTTCAAGCCCTACTAGGGTCATGACCATATTTCCTCATATGACACTAGTACTGGTTGGTTCCACGAAGCGGACTCAAAAGTGATTAATATAAGTTGCAAGAACTTGTATCGCGATCGTGCTAAAATTAATATGTTTAAACTAATTGTCAAAGTGAAATGACGTCTTGATCGGGGATTGAACCAGCGATCCTTGGATTACAAACCCAACATTCTCCCTATTGAGCTATGCCAATGCTCGATTGAGTATCCATTGCAAACTACAAGCTAAAACACTTACTTTATACTCTCCCAGTGGTAGTTCCTCATCTCCAGAGCTCTACACAACACCATACCAATCCATATACCCAGACCATTACATACCAGTACATCCAGTATGAGGGAATCCCACCAACACTCCGCAAAGTTTGGCAACAGATGCATGAAAACAATCTGATAAAATAGAGAGGAATGAGATTGTAACATTTGTTACTAAAAATAGAAAATCTGTGTAAAATTTGTCACTAAAAATAAAAAATCTATATAACATTGTTACTAAAAACAAAAAAATTTACAGGAGAATCTGTCCTTGTTTCCTTCATCTTCATTAGCAATGCTCTAAGCATGTGTGGCTGCATGGCTGAGTGGTAAACGCGTCAGACTAGTAATCTCATGATCACTAGCCGCATGGGTTCAAACCCCGTCAGGGGCAAGTCATTTCTTTGAGCAAGAAACTTTACACTCATTGCTCAGTACTGGTTGGTTCCATGAACAGATTCGAAAGTGTGTCTATAAGCTTTAACTTCCTACACAATCTAACTAAAATAAATTCTGTATAAACCAATGCTCTAAGCAATGAAATGTTGATACAATTCAAACAGGGAAGTGATATTCCAGCAGCAACCATGGTCAAGGGTTTATCAGGTACAGTTGGTTTTTAGCTAAAAACCGATGAGAAAATTTAATAACCGGTAACCAAATGTTAGTATAAGACAAAATATCGAGACAGTTTTAAATTGATTCTAAACTGTACCTTAATTTTTAAAACAAGATATGAAAATTTGTGTGTATTTTAATTGTACTCAACAATGTTTTTTATTCCTAAATACATGTTATCTGATCGCTAATAGTGCAGCTCTACAGAAAAAAGTTTATCCATTTTTGGATCTGTACTGTTATCAAATATCAAATTTGAGCATAGTTTATCTTTAACAATATGACTTGTGAGATGCTAGTTGACCTGAATGTGGAATTATTTGTCAGGAAAGTTACAAAATGTAAACAAAGTGGTATACTGACTAACCATATATTAATTGGCTAAATGGGCCTTTAATGTGGTTAATAAAAAGGGTTTTATAATGGGTGCGTTAGGAACCTTCAATTGAACATTAACTTGTTTTTATTATTAATCATAAGTCAACCATTATGTACAGGGGGTGGAGGGTTAAAGGGGTATTTTGTGCAGTTTAAACCATTGCACAATTCTAAAATTTGACATAATATTGGAAGTGAAATCCCCCCCCTCCCCCAAAAAAATCTCCTTGTGGATAGAACTACTATCATCCAACCTGAGTTTAAACACCTTGAATTCAAAAAAATTCAATTAAAAGATAAAATTTCATCAGATCAGGATTGTAAATTTACTACTGGATTTTATGATGTGACACAATTCTAATCTCCACAAAACAACTCCCTAGTGAATAACAATGATATTAACCAATAGACCTGTCAGGCATTAAATAACTGTCAATAGTTAAACCATGCGTTCAATAAATTTTCATCAGCGAAATAAAACCGCATGTGTATGAATTAGCACATTCAAATAAGATTTGAGCCGTGTCACGACAAAACCAACATAATGGGTTTGCGACCAGCATGGATCCAGACCAGCCTGCGCATCCGCGCAGTCTGATCAGGATCCATGCTGTTCACTTACAGACCCTATAACAAGTAAAGAAACTGCTAGCGAACAGCATGGATCCTAAAACAGACTGCGCGGATGCGCAGGCTGGTCTGGATCCATGCTGGTCGCAAATGCATTACGTTGGTTTTGTCATGACACGGCTCAAATTTTCTTTTATCAAACCTTATTCACTGCTTTCCAATACAATCGTACTTCTAGGACAATCATTATAATGATTTAAATGAAAACTTTCATATTTGCATTTACTTTTATTATGTCGTATTGACTATATTCTGGAATGAATCTGTTATACAATTGATCTAACGCCGAGCTTATTTCAATTCATCAATATGCACTTTTTCTCTGCAATTCATTTTGCAGTCTACAAGTTTAATGCATATTTTGTTTTTCCTCTTTAGAATTTCCATATTCATTTTATGTGGAGTTCTTCTCAATTGTTAAAAGATACAATGGCAAAAGAATGGGGAAAACACCTTGTTAGGTTCATAAACATTGAAACTTCCTTTTTTATTCTTTTCACAATGACATGTTTTCATTTCGTGGGGAAAAAAAGTACATGTGCAAATAAAATTGGAAAAATATGTTTAATGTTTCATGTATGAATAATACTGCACAAATATTTCTTCCAAGCATACTTACAATTTTAAATATTATATAAATGTACATTTTGATTTATTAAATACAGGAATTAATAAAAATTGGATATTGGATAACAGAATATTTTCTCTATTTCCATCATCTCATTTAACTTTTTGCCCAGTTTTTATTTATGTCCTAAACAATGTCAGTTTTTTTCTTCTTCCATTTAGAAAACTGTTTTTTGTTGTTTTTTTGTTTGTTTTTTTTAGGGGGTGGGGGTGTATGGGAAATTATCTGTTCAATATGTATAGTATTATGGTATGTTATGGAATGGTATGTATTCTATACTTAAAGAGGGTCCATTCACCCATTAAGGCACAAAAAGCAGCTTGCGCTTTCGAGAACAGACCCCGGACATGTCACCAGTCATGCCCTTTAAGGGTTAATTCTGAAAAACAAAGTGGTGATAGTTCATCTCTATGCAATTTCCTTTGAGTATTAGCCAAAAATATGAATTTTGAGTCAAAAGTAGGTCAATAAAAGTCGGCCAATGAGAACCTAAATATATACAGTAACAGGAGACAATATTTTTTTTTTAAGAAAAAAATCCTATGAAGAAATTACCTCTGTGATTTCCCACATAATGCTGATAGTCCACAGTATCCCATAATGCCTTATTAGTAGTGCTTTCAGTGCCCAGCCTGTGAAATGTGCGAACGCAAACACGTCTATATGACCCCACAGACGGGTCAGTGTGATATCTGTACAGTTTACTGCATACTCCTGTAAAAAAAGAAAAACAGGTAAATTTATCGTTGTTTTTTTCGTAGCGGCATGGCCAAGTGGTTAAAGTTAGAGACTAGTAATCTTAAGACAGGTTCAAACCCCAATAGGGGCAAGCCGTTGTTTCCTTCAGCAAGAAACTTTACACTTGTTGCATAGCTTCTAACACAATCAAACTAAAATATATTTATATCAATTAAGGTGGGTTTTTTTTCATATTGTAACAAGATTATTCTTATATTTCTAACACACTTTCAGGGACTGATAATAAGAACTGTCATTGATTTAGTGCAAAGCAAATCAACCATATAATGATATCAGATGACAGATATCGACGATACACCTATATATTGATACTGACTTGTCTATAATTCACTTTCATACCTGTTTAAAATGATTTCGGTAAAAAATATCATTATTCTATTCATACAATTATGACAGGTATTGTATACAAATGCCATGATCTATGTCCATAACATAACAACAGAATACAAGATAATGGGATAATAGTAATAACATAATAATAGATTATCCCCTCATATTGGCAAAAGTAGTCCTAGCGATACATAAAAATTGGGAAAATTGAAATTTTTCAGAAACCATACATTTTAATCAATTTACATCAATACTTTGATAAATAATATTCCTTAGTAAATTAATTGACAAGTAAGCAACTCGGGATATAAAACAAATATCATTTTCAACTATCGTCCTATATCAACATCACTCATGCCAGGTATAATGAATAATGACCTTATCACTTTTATCAACTTCATGAAAAAGGAAAAATGTTCATGTTTGTAAATTAAAACAATCAATTAGTGCTGCAAATCAAAATTCAAATCAAACAAACCATTGCCATAGTAACAACTACATTGATCAATATTACATCCAGAACCGTTTCATTTAATAACTGTTAGTAGGAGTTGCCACCCACATGGCTTAATATTCCAAACAAATTTTTTTTCAGGACTTTCAATTACAGTGGAAATAAGAAGTACCCTGTTGCAAGACAGGCCAGCCAGCACTCTGACAAAACTCTATACCTAATAACTTTCAAAACTTAAGCATTTTCATGTTGAAAATCCCAAAGAATTACAATAGATGGTTTCGAATCTCCATCTATTACAACAAATGGTTCCCAAACGTCCATCAAAACAATGGATAGTTCCAAAAATTGCCATCAATTACAATGACAATAAACACAATGGATGGTTTGAAACAATTACAATGTCAGAATACTTCCATGTGACCCATACCCATGGAATTGGGAATTTCAGCAATGTTTTGTTAAAAATTGGGAAAAACCGCATGACTTAATTTTGCAAAGAATCACTGTCTAGGATGGCATCTTCAAACATTTTAGCACCATAACAGTGGAGAAGCCCTTATTTTCAAAGATTTTAGAATTTGTAATTCAATATTTTTATTTCGTAACTTTTCATTGGGAATTTTTTCCTGTGGATTGGGAAAATAATATACTATTTTCAATTGGGAATGACCAAATATCGCCTAAAAAACAAGCCAAAAAAATCCCTGACTGGTCACATTGTATTACAGGTACTTAAGCATTAAAATTTAGGAATACTAGCAAACCTTTTCTCTGAGTGTATGATTTCGAAGGTCTGGGTATAACCATTCTATCATCTTCCTCACGTCTCGTCTATTTTGGAACAGAATAAATAACAGTAGCATAAAGTAGACCACGCTGAGACCTGTGGGAAAAGAATTTGATGAATTTGAAACTCAACAGTACAACAGAAATATACAAAAGTACTTCTTTATGTGTTTAAATAACAAACTTTCAAAACTAGAAATGATTTTAATGACCATATCAACACTGTCTCTAAATAAACTGGCACCCAGTTATAACGCTCAGGAACAATGTGGTGGCTAAAACCGTGCTCTGGTAAATTCAAAATGGCTTACTGCCATGATCCGGAGTAATTTACCACCACCACGTATCACCACATGATACCTTGCAATTTATATTTCTCAATTATATATGACTCTTGATTGGAAATAAAATTTATTCTATTCTTTTGTATTTCAAAAGAAAGACTCAAGGAGGTGCATATAAGTATATGGAGAAATATAGAAATATAATAGTTTAATAGCATTTAAAAGAAACTAGAGATTCTTACCAAAGACCATTCTCCAAAGTGCAGGATGAGGTCTTGTGAAAGGGCCTGTAATAAAAAACAAAGTTCAAATATTTGCATTTTTTAAACATAAATACTGTAAAATCAGTAATATTTGTGGGACATTAATTTTCGTGGATTTCATATCCAAAAATTTAGACCGCAACATCAAATCTTCTGAAGAACCTTGCTTGTTAACAAAAGCAAAATCCTTGGATTTATGAGCCCACGTCTCCCTTTATTATTTTTATAGCATGTAAGCAGTTGTTCAAAGAAGGCAATAAATAACTCATTAATTTCAAATAGTTCTTCACCTTAAATCAGAGAAAACTTTAAGAAGTATAGGCTACTTAAAAGTTCAAATAAATCATCCTTTATATCCTTCTGTTGGCAAGTGAGTATACACATGCACCAGTGCTGCCTGATCAGGGTCTGCACTGTCCGCTATTCCTTCAGTAAATTTCTTGAAACTTTTGTAAAATTGAAAATGGTTTTGTCCAGATTGACAAATGGACAAGTCCATTTTAGATATTAACCATGGTATGGGTTTAATACTGCCCTTTTCTTCTGCAGATATGTACCATAAAAGATATTGTATGCATGAGCCTTAAATCATCATACACATCATGTAACAAGCATATTATTACACAGTTAAAGGGCATATTAATTCCGAAGAAACAATCCTTGTCTTATTATCAAAAACAAAATATAGTTGTACATACCATTGGGGAAGGCTAAAACACTGATCACCAGAAAGAAGAATATAACGCAACAAAATCCCCGCCAAATGTTTGCTTCTTGTACGTGATCATCTCTGAAATCAAAACAAGAAAAAAGACATTACTAACAAATTGGCTTAGAACACATGGCTGAGCTTTTCAATCAGAGAAATCAAATTTGATGGAAAAAATCAATGCAAAAAAGTGATTTTTGGCAATTTCGAGATGTCCCCTCGTAGCCATGGTAACAGGAAATTTAAGACTGAGCATGTCGTTACAAAGGCAATGGTACAGTCAACATTTGTGCCAAGTTTGATAAGTATTGAAGCATTTTTGATAGTTTAATAGCAATTTGAACTAGTAACTGGAGACTTTTCAGTGAAAGCAGCCATTTTCACAAAATGCTCATGCGGTAATAGTTTAAATATGCAATTATTCAACATCAACAAGAAAAACATCTATGCTAGAGATCAACAAATTCATCTGATTAAATTCAATCAATATCTATATATTCTCTTACCATTTTCTCGTACAGTTGGTTAAGAACATTGACAATGATTATAAACTAATAAAAGTTTTACCTCATGTATAAGGTCATTCTAGATCAGCTGAAGGAAACCTCCTATTCTTAACAGGAACAACTGACCACTTCCTCAGTCAGTCATTAAAATAACATAACAACTGACCACTTCCCTAGTCAGTCATTTAAATAACTCAAGATTCACTTATTTCCATTCCATAGACTTATCTCATTATATAGGATACTACATATTTACTTTAGTTCCCTATTCTAAAAATTAGAATAACTTCCTATGGCTATCTATGCAACCGAGCTATGAATACCCCCCCCCCCACAACCCATCCCCCACTATGGTTTTACTAATTATACACACTGATTCTTAGTTTGCATCGTCGCATGGGTAGAATCAGTTGTCTCTAGCTGACCAAGGGGAATAATAATACTAAATCTAGAAAATATTAACACTGATGCAGGGGGGAAAAACAGGATACAAAATGTAAAATTGAAGAAAAGTATATTAAAGAGGGGGTACTTATCACAGACTTTTTAAGCAGTTAAATGTGGGGGGTATTTCTAGGATCAATAGTTTCCTTAAGTAGAATTATCTTGTAAGAAATTAGCAAGTTGAAAAAGCAGGGGAAATGACTAGACACATAAATTATATAACTGTGTGTTAGCAGCATTTATTTTTTCCAACTGCTTTTGGAATGTTGCAGGTACCAAACAAATTAGGGGAAAAAATGCATCGCTTTGGCTCAAATTGGCAATTTTACATAAACTGGCCAGTTATTCACGGGGTGTTTCTTTTACCCAGTGAGACATAAAAATTATGCATTATATACATTTTAAAACAATGTTTATTAAATTAAATGATTTTTTTCCCATATTGTCAAAATTGAATTTGCATATTATCAAAATACAGCCAAAGTTTGAGGGAGTCCTGATAATTTTTTATAGTATTTATTTTTTCTACTTTCCTGGAAAAACTTGTACGCCATTGGCTACATGGCCTATAGGAAGCCTACACCACAGGGTAAAGCACTTTCATGGGAAAACGGGAAAACTTAGCATATATCAGAATGTTCCGAACATCTTATCGCAGCATCTGAATAATTTCTAATAATACACCTTAACATAACATAATTATCTGATAATTGCTTTTTGTATAATCTATCTGCATACAGTACCAGTCTATGATTAGGGTTCAAGCAGTCAATAAACAGATATCAACCCAATGTAAATAAATGTGATAATTTCTTGTAAGCATTATGCTGCATCTTTATTCTCATATATTTTTATCTTAGCCTTTACTTTGATAAAATCATTTTGCTGTAACAGGTATGTACAGATGTTTTCAGTACCTTGCGAAAGTGAAGGCAACTAGTACTGGTAAACTGCTTGACAGCCTGGGCAATGTGGTGGCAGAACTCACAGTGCTCTGGTAAATTTAATGTGGCTTACAGCCATGATCGGGAGTGAAAACTACCAGCACTACCACCACCAAATCTGTGCTTTCCAAGCAGGCTCAACACTTAGGCAGTCGACTTATAATCCCTAAAACTTCTTCCCATGAAAAATAATTAAATATTGAAAATACATACACAAACATTCCCTGGGAAAAAATGCACTTCTCACTAACCCAACAAAAACCGTAAAAAAAATTCCTCAATATTTTGCCTTTTTCACACTCGTGACCTATTTCTACTTAGATTTAAAGTGTATTTCCATTAAAGCTGAATGTTATTTACTATTCAAATATATCTCAAGACAATGCATAATTTTACATTTTCACAACAAGAGATGGGATAATAATTCTGTCAGTTTTTATGACATATTTCATTTATTTATTTCAAGGCTGATACAACTTGGTTAAACACATGCATGTATAATTTATGTAACTTATATAATAACAAGAATTTGAAACAGAGTAACCAAAATTGCCCACCTAAGGGAAGTTTTAAACTAAGCTCAAAATTGTGCTATTTTTAAAGATTGAAGTATGGATCTGGGTTTTCAGTGCAAAATCTTGATCAATGATAGATCTGCACATGCATAAATTCATTAAAGATTTAAAATAGAATGAAATAGCTCCTGTGTATGTGTCAACAAAAATACATTTGTATTAACCATTTCAAAACCACAAAATGTGACAAATTATATGAAATACGAAATCAATACAATACAGACAATGATGACCTTTAATTACCAAGAGACACCTTGACCTTTGAGGCAGGGGTCTGAGTGCTGCACCTGACACATCGTCCTCTTCTACAAACAAAAATGGACACAAAAGTGCGACAAACAAACAGATGGACAGAGACTACATCCCCTTTATTGTTCAAAAAGGCATGGCACAATTTTTCACTAAAAACTGTCTACATATAAGATTATCTTCAAAATTTCAACAAAAATGTTTTTTAAGGTTGACCTAAATGGCAACAAATACAACCAGCTAGCCCCAACTACCCATCCCTGCAACACAACCTAACACAACCAGACTCTTTACTGACTGTTATTTATTTGCTAGTCATCATCCCTACAACTCGCAATGGACCCTTCTAAATTCAATTTAAGACAAACCCTTCACTAAAATTTGGCAGGCTCAGAAATAAGAACAAATACTAATGGTTAGCATTTACTTGAAAGTGTTGCTATGACTAACAAGAGGGCCATGATGACCCTGAGGTCGCTCACCTGTATATAGCCCCCCCCCCCCCCCGGGCCAATTTTTACCCCAAGGGCTTTTATTTGTTTATTTGAACAGACTTGGTAGACACCCATAAGAAGATGTTTCATGCTAAACATCTAAGTTCTAGCTCATTGGGTTTTTTAAAAGAAGATTTTTTAAGTTTTTACTATACACATATAGTTAAAAACAATGACACCCCTGGGGCAGGGCCAGTTTTGACCCCCGGGCTTTTATTTGAACAAATTTTGTAGATATTTACTTAAAGATGTTTCATGCTTTATATCTAAACTCTAGCTATTTGGGTTTTTTCAAAGAAGATTTTTAAGTTTTTGCTATACACATATAAGGAAAATCAATGATCCCCCCCGGGCGGGGCCAGTTTTGACCCCAGGGCTTTTATTTGAACATACTTGGTAGACACCCATTAGAACATGTTTCATGCTAAATATCTTAGCTCTAGCTCTTTGAGTTCTTTAAAAGAAGATTTTTTAAGTTTTTACTATATGCATATAGGGAAAATCAATGACCCCCTTGGGCGGGGCCAATTTTGACCCCAGGGCTTTTATTTGAACAAACTTAGTAAACACTCATTAGAAGATGTTTCATGCTAAATATCTTAGCTCTAGCTCTGTGGGTTCTTTAAAAGAAGAATTTTTAAGTTTTTACTATATGCATATAGGGAAAATCTATGACCCCCTGGGGCAGGGTCAATTATGACCCCAGGGCTTTTATTTGAACAAACTTGGTAGACATTCACTAGAAGATGTTTCATGCTAAATATCTAAGCTCTAGCTCTTATGGTTCTTTAAAAGAAGATTTTTTAAGTTTTTACTATATGCATATAGGGAAAATCAATGACCCCCCGGGGCGGGGCCAATTTTGACCCCAGGGCTTTAATTTGAACAAACTTGGTAGACACTCACTAGAAGATGTTTCATGCTTAATATCTTAGCTCTAGCTCTTTGGGTTCTTTAAAAGAAGATTTTTTAAGTTTTTACTATATGCATATAGGGAAAATCAATGACCCCCTGGGGCGGGGCCAATTTTGACCCCTGGGCTTTTATTTGAACAAACTTGGTAGACATTCACTAGAAGATGTTTCATGCTTAATATCTAAGCTCTAGCTTTTTTAAAAGGAGATTTTTTAAAGTTTTTACTATAGACAAGTGACCTCGGGCGAGGCCAATATTGACCCTAGGGTTTTATTTGAACAAACATGGTAGACACTCACTAGAAGATGTTTCATGCTTAATATCTTAGCTCTAGCTCTTTGGGTTCTTTAAAAGAAGATTTTTTAAGTTTTTACTTTATGCATATAGGGAAAATCAATGACCCCCTGGGGCGGGGCCAATTTTGACCCCGGGCTTTTTATTTGAACAAACTTGGTAGACATTCACTAGAAGATGTTTCATGCTAAATATCTAAGCTCTAGCTCTTACGGTTCTTTAAAAGAAGATTTTTTAAGTTTTTACTATATGCATATAGGGAAAATCAATGACCCCCTGGGGCGGGGCCAATTTTGACCCCAGGGCTTTAATTTGAACAAACTTGGTAGACACTCACTAGAAGATGTTTCATGCTTAATATCTTAGCTCTAGCTCTTTGGGTTCTTTAAAAGAAGATTTTTAAGTTTTTACTATATGCATATAGGGAAAATCAATGACCCCCTGGGGCGGGGCCAATTTTGACCCCCGGGCTTTTATTTGAACAAACTTGGTAGACATTCACTAGAAGATGTTTCATGCTAAATATCTAAGCTCTAGCTCTTTGGGTTCTTTAAAAGAAGATATTTTAAGTTTTTACTATATGCATATAGGGAAAATCAATGACCCCCTGGGGCGGGGCCAATTTTGACCCCAGGGCTTTTATTTGAACAAACTTGGTAGACACTCACTAGAAGATGTTTCATGTTAAATATCTTAGCTCTAGCTCTTTGGGTTCTTTAAAAGAAGATTTTTTAAGTTTTTACTATATGCATATAGGGAAAATCAATGACCCCCTGGGGCGGGGCCAATTTTGACCCCAGGGCTTTTATTTGAACAAACTTGGTAGACAATCTATAGAAGATGTTTCATGCCAAATATCTAAGCTCTAGCTCTTAGGGTTGTTTAAAAGAAGATATTTAAAGATTTTTCTTTCGGTTGCCATGGCAACCAGAGTTCTGCATGGAATTAAATTCTTTGAACAATTTTTAAAGGTGACCACCAAAGGAACATCCTGTGAAGTTTGGATGAAATTGGCTCAGTGGTTTATGAGGAGATGTCATTTAAAGCAAAAGTTTAAGGACAGACAACGGATGGACGGACGGACGGACGCCGGACGAAAAGCGATCACAAAAGCTCACCCTGTCACTTTGTGACAGGTGAGCTAAAAATCCAACTAACAAAAAACTACAAAAGAATTTTGAGCAGTATTGTCATTTGGACAAATGCCTATAACATTATTCTGATTCAGCCTCTATTTATACCCTGCTTTGATAGAATCAATATAATACAAGATTACTGACTTTGCAGCTGACAAAACCCTCGCTTTGTCACAGAAAAAGTAACTTCCTATCAAGATGACATCTGTTACATCTATTCACATGCTCCTTAATATTGTAACCAAGTTAACAATTATGGTACTGGCTTAACGCACACAGCTCATGTAATGAAATCTCAAGTTCAGTGATTTATCTCACTTAATTGGGAAGCTTGATTTTGGGAAAAATTATAGCTAAAATTGCTGATTTGGGAAGTAAAAAAGCTGGTTTAATTTCAGATTTTTGGGAAAACTGCAAAAAATTTTGGGAAGAGGCCTTTTTTCGGAGTCTGTTATATAAGTAGGAAAATCACTGAAGTTAAAGCTGTTTTGTCATGCAACACAGATATTTTAAAATTCGCATTTCTTTTATTATTTTTTTTTTTACTTTTTATTAACATTATCATTAATTTTTTTCTGTTGGATGGGTGGCATAAACCAATTCCACTGTGGAAGCAAAATGAAGGGGATTTTTTTTAAATCTTTATCAAGTGTTGTAAACATGTAATTTAAATGGACTGTTGTTATAATCGTACATTCTTGGACAATATACAAGTATAATTTATACCAATAAGGAAGACATAACAATTTAAAATCTCCTTATAAATCCCTTGTCTATTATTTCCTCAAAAGCTTATAAAAAGAAAATACAAGAGTAGTACTACGTATGTCCTAAAGTTAGCATAATTTATCTGAGATCAATAGCAAGTCCATACTTGAAAAGAAAAATTTCCTACATGTATAATGTTGGTTTTGGTGTCTTTAACTATCTAAGTTGTCGCTTTTAAATTCCCTTTCTAAACTTGAAAAAGAAATAAGGAAGAAAAAATCTTTAAAATAAAGTAGGGCATCACAATTAATAATTTACTCCACCTTGGGTGTAAATTATTCATACACTCATAAAAAGTTCTTGTAAGACGATAAAGTTTCCTCTCCTCGTTTAACAATATTTGGCAGGAGGATGAACGCGTAAAATTGTGAGAAAATGATACAATACTAGTAATTAGGACACCAACCATACTGCCAGGCTACAGTAGTCCGAGAAAAGCCCTGTTTGTATTGATCTACTGTTACATTATTGATTTTAACATACATGTATTAAGATAATTATAAGATAGTTATGTGGTCTTATGGGAACAATAAAATCGTGATACATGTACATTTGAAACAAATTAACACTCTCGAACTAGGCAATATTACGAATATACACTGTAAGAATGTAACAACTTGCCAATATTATCAGAATAAAGCCAATGCAGACTGTACTTCATAAAAATAAGGCGGACGGTATGAATCTGGTTGTTTTTTACAATTTTCACACCATTTTTAACAACATGTTTTTGGTCATATCTTGGCGTAGATCAAACAAACAAGCCTTCCTGGATAACTAACATGCAATTTACCAATTTCCCCACAAGTGACCGACAACTAATCCCCAAATTTTGTAACCTGCGATGAGAAATAACTGACTATTAGACTCAATATCTGAGTGACATGATTTGTCACTGCGAAACTGGCACAAACTAATTGATCGGATTTTAATCGATAGCCTGATAATAGGTAGTATAAAAACTTGTAAAGGAACAAAATGTTAAAGTATTTTTCAAATAACAGAGAATATAATTCTATTCCCTATGTATTCAAGTGCTCATCCTTATAAGAAACATCCACAGGCGAGGCGTGTTTCCTTGAGCAAGAAACATTACACTCATTGCTAAGTACTGGTTAGTTCCAGGAACAGATTTCGACAGTGTTTCAATAAGCTTTGCCTTATAAATAACTTCCTACAAAATCAACTATAATGAATTCTATATAAACTAAACCAAATATACATACATGAATTCATATGGGTTTAACTGAGATTGTGTACCTGCATGTCAAACAGATTACATGTACACTGATGACTTTACTTACCTACTAGCAAGTTAACTGGTCTAAACAGTTTACTAAACAAATTTTATTTAAAGGCCTAAAGGCCTCAAAAACCCTTCTTTCAGTGTCCTGTCATAGTTTCCAAAAAGATACTGATTGGCCAATTATCTGAACTATCTTTTGTTCTGTTGTTCTTTTTTTTTTTTGGCAATTAGTATAGTTATATAGTAATTTAATAATTTGTATGAAAGTCAAAATACTACTTTCTTCAGGTGATAAGTATCTTACATGCACTAAAACCATCATTTAAACACTATAAAACTCATGTTTGCCCTTTTTAAAGATACAAAAAAATTATTATTTTCTCAAACTCTTTGGCTGGTTCAGGATTCTCGATCTACAAAATCTGCAGCCGATATTCTGCAAAGTCATCCACCAAAATAGTATGTTTTTTTTCCCCTCAAAACATATAAAATCTAACAGAAAATATTGAAAAGTTATGCTGTTTTAACTTTTTGACAAGTAATATCAATCTGTTTTACGTAAATTTTGTCAGCCAGCGGAATATTGTATAGTTTCTCTGCACTGTTTTCTATTTCGATATCTTTATGAATGCACCTGGAAGACTTTCGTCCTCAAAATGTCTCAAACTAGCAAGTGGTATAAAAAATATATACATTGCTTTAAAAAAGAAAAAAAAACACGAAAGACAGAATAGTCAATTTTAAAAATGTATCTATAAATGGATATATGAAAATATGACTGTATGAATAAAAAAATGCTGATATTTAATTACTTAATTGATATTTGACCGAAAAAAAATCCCCCATACACTGAAATTCGCCCTGATGAGGACAGCCACCCACTTCCTCAAATTGGACTTAGGGCTGCGATAGGCCTAGGCTACTCAAGGACACCACCCTCCCCATCTTTCTCCTTCAGAAATATTGGGGAATTCAAAATTTGACATATGAACAACTGGCACTGTGGCCTACTTTGCAAGGTTCAGAATCGTTAACCGACCACACAACAATACGATTTCCAGAAATACAATAGGATCACACTGTCAAGATTGATCGATGAATGAATGATGTTAACATGTGTCGATGTGATACCAAGTTACGCAAAAAAAAAAACAACAATTACACACTGACCTTGTAAATGCAAAATACAGGAGACCGCAGATCGATACAGTCAACAAAGTGATTGTATGAGGTTTATAAAATACTTCCAAAGAGATATCATCGACCCCTTTTTCATTGATAAATCTAAAATGATCTTCATCGCCCTCTTTATTTTCCTCCATGATGTCTGCTACAGACTGCTTTTCGCTTTGTAGCGTGAAACTATAGTGCTTGACCTTTGACATGCGATAAATTATGAACCCGTCAAATTAAAGAGCCAAGGGAGGCTACTTCGGTTACAGTAACGTGGTTACATAAATTACGCAATATTATGGCGCGTTTTATCGCCTCATTTGTAATCGATTAAATCCATGAATAGAAAGATTTTTAATGAAAGAAAGAGATAGCATTTGTGAAATAATTTTCATTGGATATAGTTGCTCTAAAAATAGATGGGCTATTTATATTTTTAAAGTGTCAATTTTGGTTTTATAAAACGCACAGACACTTAATTGGAGTACCAATTACATGTAAACGCCTTAAAATCCAAAATAATTACATTTGTCAATTCCAGCACATAAATTTATCATAGAAATCTATGCAATTTAATATACGCTGTTTTGAAAAAAAACACATATGTTCGCTTCTTCTTCTTCTTCCAATACTGTACATAACCCACTCTGGAGCATTGACGTACAGCTAGGGTTCACTTAATTATTAGATGTATTTTTTTCTGCTCGTACCCATACAAGTCAACCCGGCCCCAAGTCAACCCGGCCCCAAGTCAGCCCGTCCCCAAATTGGTCAACCCGGCCCCAAACCAATGTTATTTCTGGTCAACCCGGCCCCATTTTTTTTATTATTTATTTTGCTTTAAAATATAAACACTTATATTTTACAAAGTAATTATTTTTTATTATTTTTTCTTGATACGATGTTTTATAATAATAAAATGATTTTACATGCAAAATATCGTTAAATTTTGTCCATAAATAAAAAAGTTATAAGTTATATTCGAATTACGTTCTATAAAAGTCATATCCGTAGCGAACAGAAGATACCGAATATGACTTATATTTTATAAATTGATTATTTTTTTATTAACTTTTCTTGATTAATAATAAAATGATTTTATATGCAATATATCGTTAAATTTGGTTTATAAATAAAAAAGTTATAAGTTATATTTGTTTTTGTTTTTGTTTTTTTTATATAATATAAAATCATATCCGTGAAGAACAGAAGATATCAAATATCATTATATGACTAATATTTTATAAAGTAAGTGGTTTTTTTTGTCTGGATTACAGTGAAATAACATGCAAATAATCGTTAAATTTGGTACAATTAATAATAAATCATTTTTATTCCATCATACAACAAGATGACTTAAATAATTTTCTTTGAAAATATATATTTTGGGGCCGGAATGACCGATTTTGGGACCGCATTGACCAATTTTGGGGCCGCATTGACCAAATAAAAATACTGTGGGGCCGGATTGACCAATTTTGAGGCCGGGTTGACCAATTTTGAGGCCGGGTTGACTTGGGGCCGGGTTAACTTGGGGCCGGGTTGACTGTAATTCGCTCGTACCTAGGACAGAAAGACACATTATATATTATTAGTCCCATGTATTCATGAGCACTGTGTGAAGTAAAAGATGCACTGCTAATAAACATATATGTCCTGAGATTTCATTAAAATTTTGCAATAAAACGTCATACATACGGTACATATATGTCAACGTCATAACATAATATTAGTTCATGTAACATCATCAAGGATGCTAAGCTGAGCTTCATAGGCCGATTTGGGGGCGTTTTCCCTTGTTATTTGTCATCCACTTCTTTGTGAGATCTCGAGTTCCCATATTTTTGTATATCCTCAATTTATCATATACACAATATCAGTTTCTTTTACATCTTATAGACGATATTTACGTACGTGTACATACAAATTTTCTTGTTGAAATAACTGCATGGACGCGAATCTGTTCGTTTATTGTTTACTAATTATTATAACTTCACTGGGTTTGATAAAAATTTGCATTTAAAAATTTTTTTGACAGATCCACAGCCTTTTCAAATTGTCTTTAATTAATTCAATGATTTCGCCTTCTACGACCTCAGGATTAAATGACATTAGGCAAACGTCTTACGTTGTAAAATGGCCTTTATTAATGCTTTAATATTTAATGTATATATTTTCTTGAAAAGAAGTATTTTATTATAACTTATATTGATGGAAATACACTTGTGCAAAATCATTTTAGGCCGAGGCGGTATACTTTTGTTTTACAGCCATCGTCCGAGACTTTGTGGGACAACCCTCATACTTCAATATTATATTAGTCCACATTTTTTTTAACTTTTAACTCTGGTCGAATTTTAAACTGTTTAGTTAACCAAAGTGTAACAAACTATTACAATTATTAAATATACTTAATATTGTGTAAATGTAAATATAAAAATGAAGAAAAAGAACACTAAAACTGCATGACAGAAGAGCGTCTGTTAATCAGCCTGTTTGCAAATTGTTATGCAAGATTTATTCATTTATTTATTTATTTATTTATTTATTTTGAACACGAATGAAGTCAAGACTTACGCTGAAATGATAGTAGCATTTTTCATGATGACATGCATTTATCAGAACCCTTTTAGGTAGGCCTGGTCCAACATTTTTTCATTTTTTATCATTTTTTGTCTCTTTAGATATCAATAGATAATAACACATCATTAGATAATAACATATCAATAGATAATATTTAATAATATATCAATAGATAATAACATTCGTTGCAAGTATTAGCACATGCCTTCCGGTTAGGGCAACATGTATCTAGCGTTGGTATAATTAATGAAAGATTGACATAATATATTGATAAGTTGACACTATATAATGATGCTGCCACATAATATATTCATACATGCACATCGTCAAATGATAGGTTGACATCATAGAAAGACACATTGACATCATATGTTGTTAAGTTGAATTCATATAAGAATGCTTCCACGTATTCACGAGTGCACAATTGTACGAAGAAAGAGTGACACAACAACGTTTATTTTTATAATCATAAGCCAGTCAATGCTTTCCCAGCAGGAGCAATGTGGTTGCTGAGCTGTGCTCTGGCAAATTCAATGTGGCTTACTGCCGTATTCCGGAGTGAAAACTAGCAACATGATGACAAACATTTCCAGCAGCGTATAGCACCTTTTGAAATCTTTCTCACTAGCGTTGAAATTATGAGGCCATTACTGCCTTATAGCCTTAGGGAGCCAAAAGAAAGAAGAATAAAAAGAGGAAAATACATTGTATATTCGGTTCAGTTCTATCGATTGTGACACGACCTTAAATAGAACAACAATGTCAACAACAGCAAAAACGAGTCCAACTTTTTCTACTGCAGATATTGTGCTATTTTGTAAATCTCTAGCAGATTCTGACCCAATTAGCTTTGGCAGTCAAAATATTTTGACTTAGTACACCAAAAACAAAGGTTTTTTTATTTGTAATGTTTGTAGAGACCTTTATTTTAGGAGTTATTATCGGTTATTTTGAGATCTAAAAGTTAGTCTTCTGCATTCTTTAGTTTCACTGAATGGTCTACTTTCCAAGAATTTCGCCCAATATTTGTTTACACATCAGCAATGCACGTGGCACGTGTAAACAACCTGTAAAATAAATGATATATTTGTATGTACGTGTATTCTAACCATTATATTAATTTCATACAACACACGAAGCTTCCAAGTTAATTTTTGCACATCAAGTTATTCTTAACTAATTATAACATTTTTTGCAAAGAAAAATGAAATATCATAAAATTGGTTTCATAATATAACTTGTACACGATAAATAAATAAATGACTTTCACCTTTCCATGGACCTCCCTTAAAATCCATGCAGATACTTCCATCTCTGTTAAGATACCCTGTCCACTCACCATTTTCTTTATCAACATGCTGGCAATACATTTAAAATGAACTTTAATCAAATAAGATACATTAAACAGAATTATTAGTCTCGCTAATTTTGTATCTGTTATAAATATCAATTCACGTTTTAAGTATATACTTACCGCTTTAATTCATTCCAAAATTTCTGTTTTCTGTGGGACATAACTTGAAATCACGTCCTTTAAAGCCTTAAAATATGCTAAAATGTAGTCTATCGTTATTGCGCTTTTGCCCAACGCAGAATGCGCATGCGCGAAATGCAACATCCGTTGCTATGAAAAAATCGTACTGTAAAAAGGTCTTTTAGTATGGTATGTCTGGAGACCCAATGCCATGTTGGTAAATATCAAATATTTGAGCTACATGTAGTTGGCCCTAACCAAAACTTCCATAATGAGCATCATCAGTAAACTTATCTTGGTTCCATAATCTTATGATCGATTCTCCATAGAACTTATCTGCTATCTCAATACAACAGTAGTTTTTTTAAGTTATTTGAAAATTAAAGATTTATTATATAATTTTATAAAAAAATAACTATGATATATGATAACAATAAAAATCTACAGGTACTTTTGAATAACAGTAATCGAAGAGCTGCTCAAACTTCTCTAGCATTTTTAAATCTTTGGTCTCCTGATACGCCATCAGAAAAGAGATCATCGACTCGTTGTGTGTCCACCAAAGTTTCATATTCCACTCAAGCTGTACTGGGCTATTTTTAAGAATATATAAAAGGTATGAAATAATAACTCCATTCAAATAATAATAGTTCATATTTAAACAGGACTGTGTTAGAATGAAGATAAAAAAATATGATCTTTGTACATACAGTGACAATGTACATGAACTACCTTTTTGTATTTTAAATGGACAAGCATTTTCATTTCAATGTCGAGATATTCAATTTTTTGTATTACGGATTCCTTTACAATGAATCATATTTTGATATCTTCTCGTAAAACCGAATGTTGTCTTTTATGACAATATTGATAAAGAAGGTATGAATTCAACTGCACTATCATAGAGGCAAAGAAATAAAGCAATCGCATGACTTTCAAAAATTTCTCAAGGAGGAAAATACTCTATCACCTGTAACCGTCGACATCTAAAAAGTAGAAAAGTCCACCATATTTTGTATCCCAACCATGATCAAACATTTTGACAATAAAATCCTCTATTGCTGTCTTTTTAAGCTCTTTGTCATTTCTTTTCTTAGCAAATTGTAACAAAAACCATCCTGCTTCGATGGCATGCCCTGGTTTTAAAATAAAGAATAATGTAAACAAACATGTAATCATAACGTTTGTAATTATCTATTGCTTACGACAGCGACTTTGTCTTCTTTAACCCTTTCCTCTTTAAATATTTAAAATACACGAGTCCATCTTTCAATATTTGCTAATAAACATTTCAATTTTAAGAATAGTATTCAAAATACATGGACTGAGGTGTGATCTTGACCGGCTGATCTTGGTATAAACTAGTCACTTGGGTATATTCAGTTGCCACTTTATGTGTTATCTTCATAAAATAAAGATATTATTATTATCATTATTACTATTTACAAACATTACAACAACAGCACTGCAACACTTACAAATTATCAAAAAATGATAAATTCATCATACATTACTATGTTTTGCATGCTAAGCAATGAGTTTCTAAGAATTTTTCTACATGTAATGTATTTCTAAATAGTCTCTCTTTCGCGTACTATTTTACATAATTGTATTCCTTTATTCTCTAAAATTAGTAATATCAATAGTGGAACTGAAGCATATTTTATTCATGAATATGCGTAATATTTCTTAGTTCAAAACTTGTAATAAGTAGTTTGAAGTTTAAGTTTTTAAGTTACTTAAATGTAATATTATACATGACATAAAATAAACCATAATAGAACAGGTATTTCTAAACAAATAAATGACAAACAAATAAATGACAAAACCTGGAACAGTCAGCCTTCCAAAACTTCCCGGAAGTTCTTCACCAGAGGGGCTGACATTTTCCAAAATTATAGAACCTTCTCGCTGGCAAAATAAAATATCAAAGTTATGTGATATCAAAATAGTGATCAAAAATCATAGTTATAGTCAAAAACATATCAATTCAATATCTAAAGTTAAATCCATCATATTTCTATACAAATCATATGCAATTTTGAAATACATATGAAGTTTTTATGTTGGTAGAAAAATTAAATTTGCAAAAAGAAAAATTTTATGAATCGATACAAAACATGTACATGTATATTAAATATATATGTATCTGAAATATATAATGATTAATCAAATAACATATAAACAACTTAAAAGGTATAAAGCAATATCATATTATTTTTATATATAGTTTTAATCAACAGTAAAATTATATTGTTTGCATAATATGATCGATGGTCGATTTTCGAAAGAATCGTAACATAGAACTACTCTGTTATTTAACATGATATTGTAAGTAACAGCATAAAGTTGTTCTTGATATTTTGAGTAGGGTTTTAACTGTTTAGCAATTATTTCAAACATGTGCCATTCGATTTTAAGGTAATTTACTGCCACAAATCTTTCATACAAGCATTTAAGAAGTATTCTTTCTTTTTAAAAAATTCAAACATTTATTTATGCAGCAGATATGTAGCTTTATATCTTAAAATGTAATGACAAAAACATATTAACTGTATGAAATCAACCTGTTTGTGATTAAGAACCTGCTTTAAACTCCAGTCAGCAACATCAGCGTAATTTTCCGACATGGAGGAATCCATTGTTTCCATTTGATCTAGAACACAGAGGAGCATCATGGGAACCGCCATAGAGTTGACTGGAGTGACCCCTGGGAGGGGAGACAACCCAAGCCTTAAATCTGTTGGATCTTCTCTGACCCAATAAATGATCTTGTCAAACATTTCTATTGCCTCATCCTATAATATGTAAAAGAAAATATAAAAGTCTCTCCTAGTTTGCTTTCAAATCTGGGCTGCTTTTCATAGTAATTCCTACACGTGAATCCTAAGTCTTAGGACATAAAACCAACTTTAGAACTAATATAAGACAGTTTCAATAATCATTTTTATCTTCAGTCACATACTGTAAAATATAAATAAATGCATTTTCATTCTCCTGAGAAAAGTTAAGAAATGTAATGACAGACCCTTTTATTCACAATGTGCAAATGCCCATTAGCAGAAATATAAAAGAGTCATAAAACAGGAGTCATAAGTTAGGACATTTTCTTTGAAATTGTTTCAGTTATGGGTCTTATTACTGATTTCAGACTAAGGACTATCTATGAAACGCAGCCCTGCTCTTCAATTGCATGAGTTTTGAAATACCGGTAATAATCAAGACTTTATCATGGCTTCTGTGTAACATTTACATTTTAAGTGATTACAAAACAGAATGTATTTAAAACAGCTTAGTCAGATAGGTTGATTAAATATAATGTATTTGTTATATTAAAGCTGCATGCCTTCAGATGAGTCAAAATATTTCAATAAAATCAAACTTGAGAAATATGTACTACGATTTTAGGAAAAGTAAAATGATTCAAGATTCAAGTAATTTTTCACATGTTATGTGCGGTAAATGACTAACTTTTCAGTATTAACAATTATATTTCTACTATGTTTCTAACACAGTAAGGGCTATTTATGCATACTTTGGCCACTTTTTGGTAATTTAAATTGGTTGTTAGTGCCATTAATAATGTGTAAATTGCTTCCTTTTGGTTATTTCACAATATTATACATTCAAATACATTTTCAAAATTTCCATGAAAATTAGCGTGAATCTGGAGGCGTGCTGCTTTAAAAAATATAGGTATATGAGTAAAGTATATGTTAAACACGCATTCATTCGGTTTCGCTTTACTATAAGTTCATTTGAAATATTCATTTGGCTCTTAATAGTTTCTCAAAAACTTTATATTTCTGTTCGTGTGTTGTGCATTTATTCGGTTCCGCTTATTAGTACCATGGAATATCCATTTCGCTCTTAGTCACAAATATGTTTTACTGGAAAATGTCAAAAAAAATAATCATAGTTTCTCAAAATTTGAATACTTTATATTTTTGTTCATGTGTTGTCCGATAGAGCTCTGACAAAGCCATTGTGTAGAAACACTCGGAGAATATAGACCTCTGAATTTTGATAGGCTGTCCTTGACGCGTTAAACTAAGACATAGTTTGCATGTTTTCGGGTCTTTGGCGTTCTTCTGCAGAAACTCAACACCTGTAATAATAGGTATAGACTAATATTATACTTTGCTTAACCACTGATGGCGTTTTATAAAATTTAATGTTTTTGAAGTTCCGAAAATATCTAATGGGTCGACAGTTTTCCAGAGTTGTCATTGGTTGTCATTCAATTTGAACAGAAACATTGTAATAGTAAAAGAAATCTAAAAACACATGTGTTTGGTGACATTTGGCTAATAGTCGAATACTAAAAACTCGCCATTTTGATACTATTAAAAGAAATTAAAAAAAAACTAAGTGTGTTTGGTGACATTTGACTAATAGTCAAATACCAAAACTCTCCATTTTGACACAAATAAAAGAAATACAAAAAACCTTTGCGTGTCTGGTGCCATTTGGCTACAAAACTCTTCAGTTTGATACAGGGTAAAAATTAAGACAAATATGACCAGATTCTCATAAGAACCACTTGATAATTCCTTTATATGAATTAAAGGAAAATTTGGTGCGGGATTTAGACCTTTTTAATTAAACCTTGTTCATTAAAAACTTTTAATCTTCTTAAATTTCTGTGTACAGTGTACATTAAAATAGTTATTGTTCATTAAAATTGTGAAAACATATCAATTCTTTTAAATAGTATTATTTCCAAACCATCTTTTTAAACCATATATAGTTCTTAATTTATATAAAGAAACCTCTAACAGCTGCCTTGATAATATCTGGCTTTCTAAACTGTTCCTCTTCATTATACAATCGTGCGTACATCCATACCTGTAAAATAAAATAAATTGTCATGATAACATGAATAATACTGAAAAATTAAATTGTAATTTCTTTAAATAGTATAATGGAAACTAAGCAATAAGTGAAGATTTCAGACTCTGAATGTGTCTGCTTATGAGAAACACATGCGTTCGGCATATTTGCAATGCCAATAATGGTCAAATTATCATGAAATAACACCTCATGATATAAAATATATACAAATGTATTTTATATAGTAAATGGGTGCTGGTTAGTAATTTTGTTCTTGATGATCAAGAAGTGATTATTTTATGATAATTTGACCAGAAAATGTTCCGAACGTCTGTAAAACAAATGCAACATCTTTCACGCCCTTACATAATTTACTTAATTAACCCGAATGGCAAATGATGATAATAATAATTATAATATTTAACAGTCAAAATATCAAATATCAACGAAGTATTACACAATACCTGGCGAGCCTGCAACCAAACGTATTTTGTGTCGTCATAAACATGACCAGATGGTCCAAGACAATTAAAGAAACCACTGAAATAAAATCTCGACTTTTACAATTCACAAACAATTATACAGTCTCCCAATGTCATTTCATGTTGTAATAATACTTATATTATACAAAAAGAATATGGATTGAACAAAAGCAAAAAAATCAATATCAATAATAGCAATTAATTAATTGAATTAGAAAATATTGATCAATTAAATTTAAAAAAAAAAACAACTAAAAATATCAATTAATTAATTGGAATATATAATGTATTCATGTATCTCGATTCCATACCCATATTCATCGTCATGTGAATATTTCAACCAGAATTGTACAGTCCTCACAAGATCAGCGCTAATTTCTTTATAGAACTCTTCCAAACGTGTCCCTGCCATATTGCTGCAGTAACTTTGTGAAAAAGAAATATAAGTATTATAGGCTCTGTAATTGATTATACAGTCAACTCGCTATCATTCGCTGTTATTCGAAGACTGACGGAAGGGCCGAAGAGTTGCTAGTGTACATGTAGATACATACGAACGTTATATAAAAATCTTATAAAACCCAAAATTAATGTTCAAAGGAACACTAAATTAATGAATCGATGAATATTTTCAACAGGGATAAATGAATTGCTTTCTTAATTAAGAAAGTAGGCAAATTCAGCCAAAAATGCTAGTATTTTTTTATTTCTCAAAGGTTTTTTTGTTGTACAGTTTCCAAAATTATACTCGTTGGTCATTTTTCCGGGTCATCTTTTTATTCTTCTGCATTTTTGCTATATAGTACAGGTATTATAGTGATTAAGTATTTTGTATGAAAGTCAAAATACCACTTTGCTTCCACATTAAAATCCATTATTACAATGTTGTTTTGTCATCTCTATACGGAAATAAAAATGTGTTTATTTTTGAAGCTGAATGTACTTTGAACAATAATGGCAACAAATAGTTTAGAACTTTATGTAATTAGATAAAAGGCATGTATAAATTAATGAAGTTTTGTATTCAGAGAAACTGGCGCCATTTTTCGACAATGGTCTAATAACATTAACTTTAAACACCACACCAAAGGTCAGATTACTGCAATGTATCATGGCCAGTGATTGGCAGCAAAAATTCAGGAAACCCGTAAGATTCAATAGGACATCAGGTGATTGGATGAAAATGCGTTGTTTACAAGTATTTATATAATAAATTTTAAAATTTATATAAGAAACTAACACTGCATTGTTTACTTAAGAAAATGAACTGTTTCATAAGTCTCTTGGATAATTTTTTACTTGGATATTTTCATTTTAAACAAGTATATGCCAGTCCTGTAATCAGCAGAAAATTTCAGGATAAAAGGGGTTGCTATAATTTTGGGGGCATTTTGCGAAAAAATTTAATTGATCATCCCTATATAACAAGATCATTTTGATGTGTCAAACAAAAATCACATATTTAGCATGAATACTAAGTTTTAAGGTAGGTTTACGAGTCATTTCTTATAATGTAAGTCTATGGGAAAATTAATAAACTAGTCCGACCCAAAAGGTAGGGGTCTTGACAAATCTTTACGGAAAAGTCAAATTTGTACTACATGTACAATAGCATTTGACCAAGTTTGTACAAAATGATCTCTTATCTAGGCCATCATTTATTAATCAAGACACAAAAAAAACCTGAAAAGTTTTTATCCTTAGACCTATGTTAGTTCAGGTCGAAAAGTATTTCAAATCATTGTCTTCCATAACCTTTACAGGCAATTTTAAAATAAGTGCTAAAACCTTTACTACGAGTCTAGACTTAAATATGCGTATTTTGTCTCGTTTAACTTTAAGACGCAATGATTCCAGTGATATGTTATTGCATGATGGGATAAAAATTATTTCACGGAAAGTACAAAGATCTTGTTTTTATTCATTTTCGGTAAAAGTAACTCACTTCATGCAGATATGGAAAATATGCCTGTTTGCCTTAACAGAAGGTATAATAATGATAATAAATGATAGACATCACGAAAGTAAGCAGTAGTTACTAGTGCCAAAAAATTATGCAAGTACATGTACTTTAAATAAGAAAAAATGACTTCTATCAAGAGGGCAAGTTATCTAAGGCGGTCACGTTTTAAACTACAGTAATTTGTAAAAAAAAATAACAACTTAACATGATCTGGCAGAGAGAGCAATGAGAAACAATGTTCAAAATATATAGAAATGAGTAAACAATATAGGCTACCTACTTGAATAATGTAAAGTCTTCCTTACGCTATCCTATTCCTTACTATATCATACACGCATGCCGCAATTACAATCTTTTAAGTTAACTAAATTATTCTATTATCTTGTGACCTATTTGTCTAAAGTATGATTTGCGACTTCAAGGTTAAGCTTATCAGTGGGCTGTGCTTAATATTCATTTATTATAATGGAATTTAGTTCAAACTTTCCATGTACAAATTTAAGGTAACACACTTTTCATGCGATGAGGACAGATGCAATGGTCTAGTGAATGTTTATAATAAGTTCAGGGATCATAACTCCGATCACTTGCTTTCCAAACTAATATTTCATATGTATATGATAATGTCTTTCACGTTCGATTTTAAGACACGATGTCTGGTGCAATTGTGCTTTAGTTACACCTTGATAGTTCACTCTTCTCATGCATGGAATAAAGTAATTTCTGTACATATCTGATGTATATACGTACTAGCTCTTAATAATAAAAAGAAACTTTTAAAAACAATACATGTCATCACACACATTAAAACAAACAACAAACAAACAAAACACGTTGGTTTTCTGTACTGCGCGCGGATGTACACGCAAGCACGCCCGCGCGCTCTTTATCTGATTAATTTATCCAAATTTATTAAAAATGAAATGTATTTTAAATGCTCCTTTGAAAACTTTAAAATTAAGGTAACTTTCATTACTGTTTTTTTCTTCTGCATACATAGGAATCATTTAATTGCTGCCAAGAGCTTGAATTGCCCTCCCAGTTAAGTGTTATCCGTAGGAGGACCCTATTTATTTATTATCGGAAAGTTTGTAGATAAGCTATATTTTCAAACCACTTTATAAATTTATAATAAACCTACTGTTTAATCTTTATAAAACAGTGAGCACAATATTTAAAAAAGCAAAAACACACAAACGTGGCCAAACCTGGCCTTAACACCCGACAATGTGCACGTGCCACAGAACACATCTAATTTAGCCACATATAGGACCCTTGAAGATAATTACATAAGCACTCTTGCTGCACAACCCCTCTTTTTTCATGCTTATTTTCAAAACTTTAACAAAATAACTCACAGAAACGGAATAAAATCATAGTAACAATAACTCGTTTAGTTTTGAGGTCTGCTTAACCACGGACTTTAAATGACATTTAGATATTTTATGAAAAGTGACTTTACAACTAAACAATTGAGGTCTAGTGAGGAAGAAAGAGATTTAGGTATATTATATGATAAGGATTTGAAATTTCGACATCACATAAGTAATTGTATCAATAAAGCAAATAAAATAACTGGATCGGTTAGAAATACCTTCTTACATGTAAATATAAAGCAATTTCGGAAACTTTATAAAACACATATATATAAGACCACACCTTGAATATGGAAATATTATTTGGAGTCCAAGATTTAAAAAAGATATTGAAGCAGTCGAAAGAGTTCAAAAAAGAGCAACAAAGATGGTTCAATGTATCAGAAATTTATCATATGTAGAAAGATTAAAAATTCTGGAAATTCCTTCTTTGGCTTACAGAAGATTTAGAGGTGATATCATACAAGTATGGAAATTATTAAATGGGAAGGAAGATATAGATTATAATGTATTTTTTGAAAAAGCACAACTTGATAATCATCACATCAGAGGAAATTATATGAGGTTGAAAATAAAATCATTTAAAAAGGAAATAAGAAAACATTTTTTCTCATTTAAGAGCAGTACCAGAATGGAATAGATTACCAGATACTGTAGTATGTTCACCAACGCTGAATTCGTTAAAAACAGACTCGATAAAGTTATGATAAACAAATTATATACTGTTGTACCGGATAATAATTATTGGGTGTCAGACCTTGAGGGGGTTACAAGAGATTTCTGATCTCGCGACCCTACGCTGGATAAAGTAAAGTAAATCCGTGGCTTAACCCGTGCGACCGGCTTAGTTCTGATTGGAAGCACGGATTTATATTACAATAATATAAATCCGTGTTGGAAGCAAGTACAGATTTAATTCGTTATATGATTTGGAAACCAATCACCTTTCCAAATACTAATCACATAGCTGAAAAGCCAGAGCCAATTTGTTTTGAAACAGCAACTGATTGTTACTGGGGCGAATTGTTTTAATAACGAAGCGCACGTCTAATTTTAAATCTACCGCTTCAGATCACATGTAAATCACGTGACAGTTCAAGATGGCCGCCACAAAGTACAAGAAGTAGAAGACGTAATATTTTTTTCGGAGGATGTTTAGAGCATTTTTATACTGAAAAGAGTAAGGTTATATGATTACACGTTTAAACAAAAAGTATTGTGATGTATTTTAACATACAAATGACTAATTAGTACTCTAATTAATATTATTTTATGTCGCAAGTTAGTGTATCTACTGTAACTTAAGTTTTTTTTAAGTCAAAATATATTGACATGCCAAAGCTTGATTCTGAGATATTTTCGTTCTGGGTCAGAATCTCGCTTCTAGGCGAGATATTGTCCAGACATGATAATAGCACAATATCTCGTAGCGCAGTACAATTAGTTGGACTAAGTGTAACTTGTACTGTTGTAAGCAATCCCAGACACAAAGGGTTGTGGCGGTGATAGTTTTCACTGAGGATCATGGCAGTAAGCCACATTAAATATACCAGAGGAGCCACTGCTTCATTCCTGGGCAGGCTCTCCATTATGGTTGCCTGATTCACATTCCAAAGCTCTACCTAATAGGGTTTTTTTTCCAGTATTTTGGGAACATGACCCATACCCTTGAGATTAGGAATTTTAGCGTCATTTTGCCCAAAATTGGGGAAAAAAACACAACAGTTTCAAGTTTCCTGAGGCAATATATTCCTTTTCTAATAGGATTTAGTTCACAAAAGAAGGTCTCTGGTTTTCATATTTTTGAACTGTGTTTGTATCACCTGCACCATTTATGAAGACGTTGTCATCTGTAGCTGAAAAAAGCTCGCACAATTTGCAACAATACCCATCTTTTGCACCACTATAATACAACAAGTCATACTTCAACTCATATTTGTTGGAACTAAATAGCCTTTGATCAGGGACAACTATATCTGACTTAGACTCGTCGCTAGAACTTTTAAAACCCTGAAAAGGAACATCATCGTGGTAACTCACGGTCACCGTTGAAGGCAATTTCTCACTAGTACTTGCAGTTTCATTTGCCGTAAACGTTTCCAAAGTACAACTCTTTTCCGAGAGAATCGCTTGCTTAAACATTTAATCAATTTTTCTGTTTTTATCAGTGCCTTTTTAAAGTTTTTTTTACGTAATATTTTGAATTGTGAGACATTTTGATCTACTTTCACTTTCAAAGGTCGTCGCTATTGTTAGACGCTTGACAAATTAATACTGAGAAATCAAGCGTCTACTTAACATGTGAAAATGACCAAATAACGGCTATAAAATCGGCCAAAAAAAACCTGGTAAGTTAATAACTTGACAGTCTGATGACACAGAGGGTGTTGAGCTCCAAACGCCTTAGTTCTGGCTTCCAAAACTTTATCTTCCAATTATGTCAAATCAATCGTGGAAAAGTAGACATTTCTGCTGTGCTTCAAAATCGCAAGAAAGTTTAAAAGAGGATAAAACAAGGATATTTAGATGTAAAAATTGAGACTGGAAAAACTAGGATTAGACATGTTCAATGCTAGCTATGGCTGCAATGAACTGCTCTGGGGTAGGGAGTAGGGCAACTGCAGGAGATAGGTGGTTCAATTGGTATACAGCCCTAGGAAAGAAGGAAAATTTATATGTCTGAGGAAGCTGTGAATAACCAATAACAGGGGGTGGCCACAACATCACACAATGGGGTGGCCATGGCGTGAAGTTTCTCTGGGGATAGCAACCAGATCATGGTGAACCTTGTAGCATCAGCCTCTACTTATATTAATGTGTTCCACTTTTCAAGGCTTACGGGAGTGAAGCATGTCCATGACACCAGAGGTCTGAACATAATCTAGCTTAATCCATCGGACTGCTCTTCTTTGGATATTTTCAATTTGATCTATTTGTATTTTGCTTTTGGGAGACCATTCTGGGATCTGACTAACAACTGGTAGGCAATATACTTTAAAATGGATTGGGATTTAACCTTTGTCACTACATATGATTCCTAAGGTTTGGTTTGCTTGCTTGGATGTCCTGTTTATGTGGGCATCCCTTGTAATGTTTTCTGATATATCCATGTTTATGTATTTAGCTGAGGTAACCATTTCTATCAAAGTAGTATTGTGTTGGGATAGAATATTTCCTTTTTGTGATGTGGATAACTTGAAGATGATAAATTCCATATCACACTCCAACTCCCACTTTTCTAACCGATCTAGGTCATTTTGGAGGGTAACTAATTGGTTTGCAGATGTCAGAGCAATGTATATTGCAGTATCATTTGCAAGCAAGCACACACGGGAATTTATGTTTTGTGGGAGGTCATTTATATATGAAGTAGGAGGGTCCTAGAACAGTACTTTCCCTATGGCTAAATTTTCTTAAAATTTTCACTGGCCTTAACTAATTTTCACTGGCCATGGGCCACGGGGCCAGGGCTGAATTCGATTACTGGGTACGCTGAAGACCTTAAGCTACAAATGCCTTCGATTCCTAGTAAAATGTATATTTGTCAATCACAGCACATGCACATATAATATATATATCAATAAAAGTTGCATAATGCTGTTTTAAAAAAAAATCATTTCAACATCAATAATAGATCTATTATTATCTATAAGATTTATATTTATAGTCTGTTACAATAAACATTATAACACTAACAAAGCTATTTTCCAACATGACATAACAGACTATCCTTTAACATGCAAACAAATAACCTGTATGAAAAAAATAGATTAAGAGACAATTGTCCATCTGTGATAAAAGCTGTAAAATATTATAATATATTAAAGAATTACCCGTAAATAAGCACATATGGATAAAATAATTGACTACTATTAATTATCACAATATAAATCAACAGACTACACGTAGAATGCATTTTATGTACACTAAACATAATAAGCAAAATTAAAACAAAAATTGAGGAAATAGTCAAGGTTCAGCATTAAGACTGTCCCAGTAGCAGCAATCTGATATGAGCCATGTCATGACTAAATAAACGTAGTGCGTTTGAGACCAGCATGGATCCAGACCAGCCTGAGCATCCATGCAGTCTGATCAGGATCCATGCTGTTCGCTATCAGTTTCTCTACTTGTTATAGGGTTTGTAAGCGAACAGCATGGATCCTGATCAGACTGCGCGGATGCGCAGGCTGGTCTGGATCCATGCTGGTCGCAAACGCACTATGTTGGTTTTGTCGTGACGGGGCTCATATATACTTAATCATGAAATTAAGAATATGAAATATACATGCATGCAACTATTGTTAAGTGGTTCCAGCAAGTTTAGGGTTTAAATGTGCCAGCTGATCTTGGTCTGGCTCGGTTGTGTTGCTTGAGTCTGCTGCCAGGTAGCTGGATGGTCCTGGTGGGATTCAAATCCACAGCAGCTGCTAATTGATAGGCAAGTGATTTAAAGTTAGTAACCTTAACCACTTTGCCACAAAAGCTCCTATTCAACTAAGACATGGTTTATTTATAGATGTTTTTTATTAAGGATTAAAGTTTCTCACTAGTAATTCAGTTTCAAGTAGTAATAACATCTGTTTAAAGTAGGATTAAAACTTCTTTATTTTAAAGTTTTTAAATTCCTTGTACTCTCACACAAGTGCATTCACTGATACTTTTGTTAAAGGCCCATTATGTCTCAGAAAGCATATCATTTCCCCCCTCAAAAACTGTTTATTTTTGCTATCTTGTTACAGTATCCAAATATATACTAATTTGCTATATTCCTGAACCATCTTTTGCATCTTACTCTATGTTGGCAATTTGTGTAATTATAGTGAATTAGTATTTTACATGGAAGTCAAAATACTATTTTGTTTACATTTTGCTACATGTACCTTTACGGCACATACATGTTCAGTGCTACTTTTTCTCTTAAAAACATCTACCATGCTCTTAATCCATTATTTAAACATTACTAAACATGTGTTTGACATTTCTGAAGAATTAAAATATACTCTGTATATTGATTTCTGAGGTATCATGTGCCTTTAAGGTAAACCACAATCTTGATAATTCAATTAATGTACGTTTGTATGCAAAATATGATTTGAAATTTAGTGCCACAGCAAGTACTAAAGGAGAAGAATTTTATAAGACTTAGTCTTTCATTCTCATCCTTTTCTTTGAATATATTAAATATTTGTATTCTGATTGTATTGTATTATGTATATCATGTAAATATTCGGGAAATAAATATGTTTAAACTAAGTACTAAACTTGCTTATTTATTATGCCAACCTCTAGTTTTTCTTTAAAGGCACATATTGCCATAGAAATGATTTTTCTTTTCTTCTTTAGAAAAGGCAAATACATGTATGTAATTAAAAAAGGGAATTAAAACATTATTATTGGATGGAGTTACTGAAAGTATGTATCCCAGAATGTGAAATAATTTGTCAAAATTGTAACAAAGTGTAATCAAATTGGTATTTATATTTGACTTTCATACTTAATATTAATAATAAATCACTAAAATTGCACTAATCACCAAAAAAATAAAAGAAGTGAAAGATGGTATAGTTATATGACCAATAAGAATTTTTCCTGAAAATTTTACAGGACACCGTCCAAATGAAGAAAAAGTTTTTGATAAATGAATATAATAGCATTTTAGGCATAATGGGCCTTTAATATATTGTTCTTTTCACTGAAGTACAATAATATGTTGTTAGATTTTGTACATTGTGTAGATTCTGATGACTCAAGATGTTTTTATAAATTGTTAAACCTTAAGGGTATTTAAACATTTTTTATACAAATTGAATGTTCTATCAACTTGATCATTATGTATTTTCACCAGCATTAGGTACCCATTCGGGCGTGCAAATTAATAATACAAAAAAAATATGTTTAATTTTGTACAGCATTGAAACATTGTTAAATCGTACATTAAACCACTACTTTTGTGGGTAAAACACTGTAGCAAAGTTTGATAAAATAGTAAAATTGTTCCCACCATAAAATATAAATTGTTTTCACCCTATACTGTGTAAATATATGGGTTGTGTAATTTAAGCTAAAAATAATAGCTTAATGTTGAGACATAATTTTATCGACTGTTTTTATTGGGTGATTTGTTTGGGTGTTTTAAGTATGGATTACTTAATATAAATACTGATGTAAGTGTTTGCATTAGGTAGAAAATTATTTGTAGTTTTATGTGATATAATTATTTTTTATGAATAATGTAAAGCTGGATTTAAGTGAAGTTATTTATATTGTAATAATATGTGAAGTGAGTAATTGCTTAAAAGTGGCCCAGGTTAGAATTATGCCGCCAGGAAGGAAACATTTTTGTATGGAATTATAATGGACTGTTAGTATACAAATGTAGATAGAATAAGTTAAAGCTCCATGCCTCGAGATAAGCCAAAATATTCTTAAGAAAATTGTGTAAAAGATTCAAGAATCAAGAAATGATTTACATTTTATGTGTGACTAATGAGTTAATATCTCGATCATTTAACAATATTTTACTTTTAAAATTGAATAAATTTTAATGAAAATAAGCATGTATCTGGAGGCATGCTGCATTAAAACTTTGTATGGTAAGGCGGGGTGGATTTCTTTCTCCGTAATCAATAACTTTGTAATTATTAAATATACATGTACTGTAGTTATCATGATCTAAAGGACTTAGCAGGGCCAGCAAAATCTGATATTGACTTACTTGTCTGTTTTTATGTGAACCATTTTTTAAATTGTCCATAATCATGATATTTTCATAATTAATTCTTGAAAATCTTCATTTTCCGTACAACCTGGGCAATACGGACAATTGATTTTGCCGGCCCTGCTTAGAACATAACCCTTAGTTTCATTGGCTGGAATTTCTTTGTGCTATAATTAAGATGAAGTAATAGTTGTTGTAGCATTGTCTAGGAGTAGGAGGAGCATTAAAAAGCCAAAACTTGTATGAAGTAAAAACAGCTCTTGGTGATTATAGTGAAAATGCATCAACTTTTAAGGGGTCTCCACGGGGGTTTATTGAAATGATAGGACTGGAGATAAAAATTTCGATATTAATGTCCCATATTCTGTAAATATAGACCAATAATGTGTGTGCAGAATTTCAGATAATTCATTTATTCCATTTTTCTTATTGTGAAAAATAACCCAAAATTGAATAGCTTTTCACTCCAATAAGACTAAGAAAAGCACAAAAATGTCATTTTCAATATAGTTCTTAATATATTTCTTATATAAACTTTTGCATATCTTTCTGTTTAAAGTTTCTCTGTGTAAGAAATTAATATGTTTTTATACTTTTAAACCTCAGTGGAGTTCCTTTAACTACTGTCCAGTTATTTTCTTGGCAAATTTGACAAAATGTACGCTTTTTATTTCTAAGATTAATTTTCCAGTAACTTGACAAAGGTACATGATAATTTGTATTACTAAGTATTATGTCAGCATACAGTAACAAACTGTACAAATTTCCTGTGACAATATCTTTTCTATGAGTCATAAAATCATAATTTACACAAGGGAAACAAATGTTTTCAGTTATTTTTCAATATTATTGGCAATTAATAACTTGATTATCAATTACAACTAATGTATTGACTTATTATAACAATGTAATGTATTGACAGAAGCTGAGATAAAAATCGGTCAAAGTGATAAGCTTCTGTACACGTTATTGTATAAATGTTTGTTTTCTGACTCATTCTCTGTAATGGTGTATTTCCTTTATTTTTAGATGACCAGACTTACAAACTCTTAATATGAATCGTAGGTTATTCTTTGGGACAAGTTGTGCTTGTTGTAAATGAATACCAATATAAACATCACAAAAAAGTTTTCGATGACAACAAACATAGATAGTTGTTAGATACATGGAATATGGCGGGTGTGAGTGAACGCCTACAGCCAGACATAGGAAAGCTGAATATCAAAACAAAAGGAGAAGGTAAATTTTTTAAAAATACATGCCTCAAAAGGAGCCAAAACATTTTAATAAAATCAAATGTAAGAAAAATGTTCTAAGATTTTATGAAAAGTAAAAAGATTCAAGACTGAAGTGATAATTTACAGTGTATGTGAGATTAATGATTGAATTTCCTGTAGTTTTCACCATATTTCTTCAGCTTGACAAATTTAGTAAGAGCTAATTTTGCACCACTTTCTGGTCATTTGTATGGATGTATGTGCTGTTTTCAGTGCTTAAATTACCTTCTTTGTTCACATCACAATATTTTACTTATAAATAGCATCATTTCAAAATTTTCATGAAAATTAACATGAATCTGGAGACATTCTGCTTTAAACATAAAAATTACTCTGTCTGCTAAATCCTATCTAATAGAAGTGTGTTATAAATCCAAGGAAACTTGCACAAATTTAAAAGTGTATAAAGCTGCTGCAAAAATCATAATTGTTTGACTTCTATAAAAGAATACTTCCAAAATGCTTGTATGAAGTAAATATGTATTAATTGCCTTAAAAACGAATGGGGCATGCACAAATCATTGCCAAACGGATAAAACCCTACTAAAAATAGCAAAGTTCAGTTCCTGAACATATTATTCTGTTTACATACATTATCCATGTGTATTGAATAACAGAGACATTCATACAACTTTTTCGGGAATCAACCATATAAGAATGGAACAAACATAATTTTACTGTTGATAAATATCATAGAAATATTTCATAAGATATAGATTTATACCCTTTAAACACAGCTGAACCTTTGGATATATATAATCCAATAAAGTTCTAAGTGATGTAGAATGAACATTTATATGATAAGTAAAAATATTTTGTTCTAGAACATTATAATTTTTTTTATTATCTGCTTTATAATACTGCACGTTTGTAATGTCGCTTTTCATTGGATAATCGTGACATATATATAGATTTATATACATGGCAGCTGTCGATTTATGAAAATATCTTACTTTTTCTGTACAAAATAATGCTTGCTGTATTATAAATTCGTTATAAAGATTGTTGACAGGTTATATGGCCCTATATAAATGGCTGTTTGCAATATAACCCTCTCCTAGGGGCTCGGGTTATATTTACCAACAGCCATTTATATAGGGCCATATAACCAACCTGTCAACAATCTTTATAACTTATAATAAAAATCTATGATATATCCCATCATATATCTCACACTTGCCAACAACTTCCATGTTTAATTCTTCCGTGGTTTAGACCGCCTCCGTGGTCGAGGGGTTAGAGTCGATGACTTCTAATCCAGTTACCTCTCTGGCGTGGGTTCGATCCCCGGGAGATGCTTTGGTAGTTTAGCGAGGAGGAAGGTAGTTTAGTACTGGTGTAACTCTCCAGGAACGATGGTTAGGAAACTACCCGCCTATATGACTGAAATACTGTTGAAAAAGGCGTAAAATGAAACAAACAAACAAACAAACAAATCTTCCGTGGTTTGTTGTTACAAAATGAATGTCTGATACTATATACTTTCTGAGCAATAATTACCTTTATTTTAGAAGGAATATGTTAATTTAAAAGTATAAAAACATGATTTTTGTATTTCAGATGTTGCTGATTTAGTACAGAACATTTCAAATTTATCGCCAACAACACAAGAACATTTAGGTGTACTGCTGAGAAGTATTTCAAATGGAACGGGTAATTTTAGAAAATATTTTCTTTTATTTAATAAGAGTAACCATTTACTATTTTGTAATGTAAGGGGTGAAAGAAGTTATCCAGTTAGCAAAGGGAAGGTAGGTGGTTCTACTAAGTTATCCTCTTGTAACTGAAATAATGCATGGAGGAGCACCTAAGGTCTTTCCACCACTAAAACTGGAAAGTCGTCATACAACCTTAGCTGTGTTGGTGTGACCAATGAAGAAAAAAATTATTTAGTAAATAATGTTGAAATATACTGTCATATGATATAATTTGTATTCTTGTATAAAAACTGCCCACACAGGTATACAATAACGGGAAAAGAAAACATGCATTAACAGTTATGAGCTGCGTCACGACAAAACCAACATAGTGCGTTTGCGACCAGCATGGATCCAGACCAGCCTGCACATCCGCGCAGTCTGATCAGGATCCATGCTGTTCGCTATCAGTTTCTCTACTTGTAATAGAGTTGGTAAGCGATCAGCATGGATCCTGATCAGACTGGGCGGATGCGCAGGCTGGTCTGGATCCATGGTGGTCGCAAACCAATTATGTTGGTTTTGTTGTGACACGGCTTATATATTCCTTCTACAATGTGGCATTGTTGCACATTTTAAATATGCATGACTCGGGGTGCAATGTAAAAACAGCTTCATGCCATGACGGCCTCAGTACTTTTATTATCAAAACAGAACTACACCTTGCATTTGCATCTGTAGAACCCCAATAACCCTCTATTGTGTTTGTTCTTATTGTTTGTCTATCTTTTTATGCCCCCAAAATGTGGGAGCATATAGCGTTGCACTTGTCCGTCCGTCAATCCGTCAGTCAGTCCGTCCCGAAATCTTGTGAACGCAACTCCTCTTAAACCGGATGGCAGATTTTGCTTAAACTTACAGGGATGAACAACCTTAATGACTAGATGGTAGTAAAGGAAGGAATTTTCGCTGCGACCAAATTTAACAGAATTATGGCCCTTTGTTGATTTTTTCACTATATACTATGTAGAAATTTTGTGAACGCAACTCCTCTTAAACTGGTTGGCAGATTTTGCTTAAACTTACAGGGATGAACAACCTTAATGTGTAGATGGTAGTAAAGGAAGGAATTTTTGCTGCGACCAAATTTAACAGAATTATGGCCCTTTGTTGATTTTTTCACTATATACTATGTAGAAATTTTGTGAAAGCTATATACTATGTAGAAATTTTGTGAAAGCAACTCCTCTTAAACCGGATGGCAGATTTTGCTTAAACTTACAGGGATGAACAACCTTAAGGTCTAGATGGCAGTAAAGGAAGGAATTTTTGCTGCGACCAAATTTTACAGAATTATGGCCCTTTGATGATTTTTTCACTATATACTATGTAGAAATTTTGTGAATGCAACTTTTCTTAAACCGGATGGCAGATTTTGCTTAAACTTCCAGGGATGAACAACCTTAATGTGTAGATGGCAGTAAAGGAAGGAATTTTTGCTGCAACCAAATTTTACAGAATTATGGCCCTTTGTTGATTTTTTCATTATATACTTTGTAGAAATTTTGTGAACGTAACTTTTCTTAAACCGGATGGCAGATTTTGCTTAAACTTCCAGGGATTTACAACCTTAATGTGTAGATGTTAGTAAAGGAAAGAATTTTTGCTGTGACTAAATTTAACAGAATTATGGCCCTTTGTTGATTTTTTGTCCAAAAAATATTTGACCTAGAGTCATAAGATTGACAGAACAGTGGCGTGTGGGGGCATCTGTGTCCTATGGACACATTTCTAGTTTCAACTCATATTGGGCCATGATACTGGCTATGTACCTGACTTAGAATCGAAATAATATATTTGCGATTATTGTAAAGAATTTTTGAGAATCTGTCATTTTATTTGACACAAAAATGTCAAGAAATATTCCATTACTCGTTGGTGTGCATACCATAACCTTAACAAGTAGTGGTGTCATAATAAGGAGACAATAAACATTGCTCTTTTTTACATTATACTGTAAAAGTTTTACTAAATATTGTTATAACCAGTGAGAGAAAAAGAAATTTAGAATATGTTGTATGGTAAGATGTTGTATGGTAAGTTATTATTAAGTGGTTTGAAATACTACATTGTTGTTTACAGCCCTGATTGACAAAGATGCAGAGGGAAGAGCTCAGATAGAATATAAACCTGCAAAGTAAGTTTATGATAATTAAGTTTCTAGTGCCTTAGTGACCTCAAAACCAATCACAGGAACAATTACGTTCCTCATACCTTAGTGAGTTCGAAAAACCAATCATGGGAACAATTAATTTCTTTGTACCTTAGTGAGCTCAAAACCAGTCACAGGAACAACGCAAAACATTATTTGAGTAAGATCAAAACCAATCACAAGAACAATGAATTAATTATTTAAGTGAGTCAAAACCAATTACAGGAGCAATGAATTCATTATCAAAGTGAATTCAAAACCAATCACAGAAACAATGAATTCAGTATATATAAGTGAGTTCAAACTCAATCAAAGGAACAATGAGTTCATTATCTAAGTGAGTTCAAAACCAGTCACAGAGCAATGACTTCATTACCTATGTGAGTTCAAAACCAATCACAGGAACAATGAGTATATAAAATAAGTGAGTTCAAAACCAATCACAGGAACAATGAGTTCATTATCAAAGTGAGTTCAAAACCAATCACAGGAACAATGAGTTCATTATCTAAGTGAGTTCAAAACCAATCACAGGAACAATGAATTCATTATCTAGGGAAGATGTCAATGCTAACTTATGGAAGGTTGGTAGCTCTACTAAGCTGTTTATATCTGCTCCTTGAATAATACATGGAAGAGCATATTGGGAGTTCATCGATCAGTAGTAGAGATTCATGGTTGCCATGATCCTCTTACATAAATTTATCTGTTGCCATGGTCCTCTTATATAAATTTATACATTGCCATGATCCTCTTATATAAATTTATACTTGTGAAATAGTTGAAATAATAATTATATCATGACCTCACTTGTTTTCAATGTGATAAAATCATTACATTTTTGTGTATATTACTTATTCTAATGTAAAATTAGCTTGTATAATGGTTAGTTGCTGTTGTGTGTTTTTCAGCATTTGTAATATTAATGAAGTAAATCGCCATTTCCCTAAAAGTTATTATTTCTGATATAAGTACATATTGATATATCCTCTTTACTTTTATCTTGTATTTTCACCCCTATTTCCAGACAAATACATTGGGACGGCTCAAACGCCCATGTTATAGCTCAACCGAAATCTGACCTTGACATTGAGGTCAAGGTCGATGCATGTTTGGAGCTGATTGATTATCTGAAATCAGAGAAGCCTCCTTCTGGTGTTGTATTGAATAAAACTAAAGTGAGTGGCAGAATTACTTTTTCTGATGTTTAAAAATTTTTTTTTACGGGGAAAGCTCTATTTGATCAGATGTAACAGTAAGCATCACTTTTCTCTTAATTTCTTAACTTCAGCCTATTTTTCCTGAATTGGGAAGTCACTTCTCCATAAATTTTCAGTTCAAGGTAGTCCCTGTATAGAAATGAATAAATCCATACAAATTTTACAGAAATATTACTTAGAATATATTGTTAAGAACATTCCCTATTTGTAAGAGAAAGACACAAATGAGTATGAAAAATGCCCTCCTGGTGTGAAATTTGTAAATCGTAAATATGACAACGGGCTCAAAGACAACCCACTAGATCATAGAACCAAAACTTCATGAGGCAGTTTTCAGAGGATGTATTCATAGTAATTTAAGATAGGAAGGCACTCAGACAAAGAAACCATGTGCTGAAAAAGGGAAACAGACTAAAGCCGTCCAGGCAAAAGCCCTCCCTTCCAAAAGAAAAAACAAAGTATTCAACATACAGTACATAAATGTCTTTGCTGCAGGAGGGCTTTTGTCTCCCCTGTAATTTTCATGGGAGGGCTTTTGTCCACCTTGTCATTTTTGGACGGGAGGGCTTTTGTCTGGGAGGGCTTTTGTCATACACTCTCTTAGAAATATCATGGTATTGTATATGTGCATACCTGTCCCATCAGATATTATAGGGAACTTTTTCCCATCTAATAATATATCCCAATGTACAAACAAACTTTTGCCCTGACAGCTCTACAATGCATGTTGAAATACGGAGTTAGCTCCACAGTATTGGGAAAATATGAAGTGCTTGCTTTCAAAAGCATTTTTTTTTATTTTGTGAAAAGGTGTTTGAAATATTTGTGAAAGAATTATTTGATAATTGATGATTTTATTTCAGATCTCCTTATCTCCAACAAAAGAGTATAGATTAGGGCACGAGTTTGAGCGGACAAAGGAAATACTTGGAAAAGGGAACTCTGCAGGGGATATTGTAGTAGTTAAAGATAAAAAGACAGGCCAGGAACATGCATATAAAACAGTAATGGTTTCATATCATTTTAAGATGTTTGATGTATAGATTTACATGTAATGCTAACAGATTTGTTTAAGTTCAGTATGCTTTTTATGCTAAATACATGTGCAACACTTAAATATAATTTGGCTACAGTGTTCACTGTAATATTTCAGTAATATATTAAAAAGCATATAAATAAAAAACAGTATAATAACCTAAAAAATGTATGAAAATAGAATTCAATTTAATTTTCAGATGATGATCTCATACTTTCGTAAAGAGGAGGTGAAATGTTGGGTGGATATGTCAGATTCGGGTTGTGTCCCTGCACTGTACCTCTTCAAAATAGAAAACAACAAAGTGTCTATACATATGGAGATTTTGAAAAATGGTAACCCAATGAAAATGCTTACATTTTATTCAATTTTGCTAAAATGTCTCTTTTTAATATCAGTTTGTTCTAAGGGAAAAATTTTGACTACCTATCCTTCAAACAGTCTCCTTAAAATTGAGAAAAATTGGAATCCATAAAGAAAGTCAAAAAAAGTCAGAATTGAAAATGTTGCTGGCTCGGTTTGATTAAGCCTGTTCATGGACGATATTGTCAAATTCAAACTACCGTCCAACCACCTAGCACTGATTAAAGCATAATTCAACATTTTAACATGAAAGTGGTGAAATTTTGAATTTAGAAACATTTGCAGCTAACATCTGCTGTCATTTTAAGCTCATCTGTTCTGTAGAATAAGTCAAGCTATAAGGATCTCTGTGGCATTGTCCTCATTGTGGTTGTGTAAAGAATTTAATGTAGCCCATTATTCAAACATTTCAAAAAGTATGAACATGAATCTTGGAATACTTGGTTATCATGACGAAGGTGCAGTTGTTAGACAAGGAGCATAATTCTGAAAGCAATATTTTTGGAGTTATGCCCCTTTTTAAGTTAGAATTTTCAATCAGGAAATATCAATTTTGCGTCTTTATGGAATGTTGGTGGTTCTACTCAGGTGCTCGTTTGTGCCTGAAGCCTGAAATAATTCACAGAGGAGCTTCCTCCAACAGTTAAGCCAGAAAGTCAAGATATGACCTATACTGTGTTGGTGCGACATAAATGGAAAAAAAAAACACAAAAATTGAATTAAAAAGTTTTCAAAATACTGCAATGACAGAATCTGAATTTGAAATTTTTGTTTATTTTAAGCTAAAACTTTACGCAGTATTATAGACGAGCACATGGCAGGATTTTACGAGAATGCAGAGAATAGATCTCTTGTAAAGCCGTTTTCATTGTACGTCTTAGATGGGGCTCTTGAAGCTGTCACACAGCTGCATAACAAGGGATGGGTTCATCATGATTTACATGGTAAATACTCGTAATGAAAGATTGGAGGAATTTGTACATTCTATTACAGGGTTTGTACAGTCTTAAAAAAGTGCTTAAATTTGAGTCTCATTCTTAAAAAAGTGCTTAAAAATGAATAAAATTGCTTAAATGTCCTTGAATTTGATTACTCTCTTGAATAGTGTTTAAAAAGTGCATAATATTGCTGCAAATATGCTTGAAAATTATTGAATGACATAGTGTCAGTAAAAATCGACACTTATCCGATTTTGTAAAAATCGACAGTTAAGAAAAAAAAAACTTATCCTATTTAGTACCAAAATCAATGAAATGTTTGCTCAAAGATAACAGTAATAAGTATTAGGGGATGAATTGCAGTTGATTCGAACTGTTTTGGGTATGAATATATCGTAGTTGTGCTTTTGTTTTGACTTGAAAACGTATATTCAACAAAAATGGCTAATAAACTATCATTGGTTACAAATGATATTTGGTCAACAAATTATGCTTGAAAAATAGAAAAACATGCTTAAAAAGTGCTTGAATTGTGGCATTGAATGTCTGTACGAACCCTGTTATTAGCTCATCACATTTATTGTAGAGTGTAACTTTCAAATTCCGGACCTTATAAAATTCGGAAACTTCTGAAATCCGAACAGTTTTCAGGGTCCCGTAATTTCTTCTTCAGTCTTTAATGTAATGCATACATCTTTATTTCGGAACTTCTACAGTTTCCCTCGATAAAATGTTAAGGAATAGTTTCCCTCGATAAAATGTTAAGGAACAGTTACCCTTGATATAATGTTAAGGAACAGTTTCCCTTGATAAAATGTTAAGGAACAGTTTCCCTTGATAAAATGTTAAGGAACAGTTTCCCCCGATATAATGTTAAGAAACAGTTTCCCTCGATAAGATGTTCATCATCAACTTTTGAGCTATAAAGTTCTTCATAGCGCTTTGTAAAATAGATGTATAAATTTTTAATAAAGTATTTCTTTTCTTTTGAATTAATGGAATAAATATGTTTGTTTAAGGTGGTAATGTTATGGTTCAGAAAACAGGAGAGGAGAAACTTGGAGTTAAAGTTTTGGATTTCGGCTTGGCTCGTAAATTGGAAGACTACAATGGTTTAAATTATAGAGGATTTCATGCGGATATTGGGGAGATTGTCCGTCTGTTTAGCGCTTTATACACTGGAGGGCTAGAATTTGATAATGTGCTTGATCTTCGTAAAAATTGGAAAGACAAATTGACGGAGGTACCATAATTCCCCGCTATAAGACAGGGATTTTTCTTCTATTTTGAAAACAAAAGTGTTATATTGCAGCTATAATTCTGAATTTTAGTGGTGCTCACTTTAGGATATCTATTTTTGGCTAGTTACCTAGTTGAATACGTATGAAATTTTGTGTGACTAAATTATGACACAAATGGTTAAATTATAGTTGAATATGTATAAAACAATGTGTCACCTAAATAATGGCAGCAAAACCTAATTCTTAAACTACCAATTTTTGAGTCCTGTATTATCATTCTCCCCTTACAGAGTTTATAAGGGATGCTTGTTAGTAAATGAGAATAATTTACCTGTGACTATACTATTTTGTAAGCAAACTGTCAGACTAGGGATATATATTTTTATGCCCCCCCCCCTTCCTCTTGCAAGAGGGAATACATATTTGCCCTCGTCTGTCTGTCAGTCTGTCCATCTCTTGACTGACAAAATGAGATGCATCTATGTTCTCTGGACATATTTCTAATTGATTTTAGTAAGATAAAAATCTCTTACTGCGCATACAATATGGGACCTTTCTTACTTACCCAGGAGATTGACAACTCTTGGTGAAGGCATCTTTGGAACCCACAGGTACTGATTTTGCCGAACTACATTCACCACAAATAAAACATTTATGTAACAAGTATGCACACATTGGTTACTGAGAAAAGGTCAAGGTTTTTCGCAATTTCTGTAATTACTCCCCTTGGTGAACTTATTTTACTATCAAGCATTGAGAATATGCTGAAAGTTCTTGTTCATATTTAAAGCTTTGTTTTCTAATAGGTGTACACATGTTTTAATTTGCAGGTTACAGAAATGATGAAAATGAATGTTGATGACAGGAAGGAACTATTTTGTCTCGTGGATGCTGCTCTGAAAGTAGTCCATCCAAATCAAGTGGAAGAATATAGACAACAAGTGAAGACAGAACTTGGAAAAGGTAAAATACAAAATTTTATAAAGACTGTTGATTTGTTAGGAAAGCAGGGTTTTTTTGGGGTTATTTTTAACAGTTTTTTATTAGATTTGAGCATGTGTTGTCTTTAGATTGGCAAGTGGCTTTTTGAACAGCTTACTATTAGATTTTAGTGTTTCAAATGTAGAAGTGACATCTGACCTGTGGTTTCAACAAAAAGTGTAACAACATTAAATTTTAAATTGTTACATAGATTGAGTGAAAATGGAACAATTTACAAATGATAGAAAATATGCTCGGAATAAAATTGATAATTGATAGTTTTTCCTGTTCCTGGCCCCAGTGACAAGTCATTTGGCTCATCTTGCATAATATTAAATTATATTCTAAAGAAATTATCTGAAAATTGTAAACAAGAACTACATCAGATGGTATGTAAATCTTGGAAAGTAATTCCAGTCATGTCAAAAAAAACTCAGTAGAGTCTGTTTAACTGTATAATGCACATGCTGTTGATCTATGTAAGAATTTCAAATACATGTATGATATTTTCAGGCCTTTAGACCCAACAATTATCATAAACTGAACTGCTGTTTCCACCTGTTTGTTTTGCAAAATGCACCTTCTACTAATTGTTTACATTTACAACAGTGTCACGAAAATCTTTCGCATTTGTTTTTGTGCCGTAAAAATGATCAAAAACATGATTCCATGTACTGTAGACATTGTAGATAATAAATAGACTTATAAATAGTGTGTTCTTATTATAAGTACATTTACTATCTGTTTAAAAGTTCCTAAATTTATGCTGACATTTTAAAACAGACATAGATCTTTGTTTCTAATTGACTGAAAAATCTAACATAAAGATGGTTCAGGCTTCCCAAACTTTGACTAACTGAGTAATGCATCGATATAATGGCGTTACCTAATTCTCCAACCTGTTTGACATGTTTGTAAATATCCGTATATTCCAAAGCTAAAAACTATATATCAGTGATGTTTGCCATGTAAATATTATGACAAAAGGATCAAAATAAATGATACATAATAAAGATTCAGGGAGATTTAAATTTTTTAACTGCAGTTGTGATTTATAGGTAAATAGATCGCTACAATGGGGTTCCAGACTAACCATTTGTCTTGAGGTGCTTCATAACATTTCAAATTATGAAAAATGCTTTTATTTCTTTCCAGCCATGGGGCAGTCAGAGAAAGAGATAATGAGGAAAGTTGTTGCCATTCTGTTTCCAGAAGACTTTCAACCTATACATCAGGTATACCCTTCAGTGTAATGTAAACAAAGATTTTTTCACAATTTTAAGGGTGGCATCCATGATCGTTGACTCCAAGGTCACATGTGAGGACGCTGTGGGTTCGAATCTTGACAGGGACTTTTCATTCTTTCATGTGAGGAAGCTATCCAGCTAGCTTACAGAACATCGGTGGTTCTACTCAGGTGCCTGTTCGAGCCTAAAATAATGCACGGAAGGACACCTGAGCTCTTCCTTCACCAGTAAAGCTGGAACACCCCCATATGACCTATACTGTGTTGGTGTGATGTAAAACCCAATCAAAGATTTGTTCAAAATTTTTAACTCATGGGAGCCGTAATTAACAGCTCAATTTGTTAGTATATATTGTTTTGTAGTAATTATGGTTTTTTTTTTTGCTAATTTTTTTTTTAAACTATTGTCAAACATTAAGGTAAAGGAAATCTTTGGAAAAAAACTACAAATTCAGAAAGTACTCTATACTTAATTTGATTTATTATAAAAGCTGAATTTGATTGTAAATTAATTAAATTAATCAGTAATATAATTCATGATTTATTGTCGCTATAAATTATAACAATAATATATCTCATAATTAGTGATTTTATTCATATAAAAGTCACATTGATGGCAGTCTTAACTGCAGGTACCTTAATGCGACCCAAGCAGTGAAAGGGTTAACCATACTTTAAGAACATATGTACATATGTATCAGTTACAAATACATGTACATAGAGGACATTCAAGTTTTTTCTATAAATACAGGAATTATTTTCATCAAGTGGTATGAAAATAAATATTTCATATATTTGAGTGAAATATGATAATTTTCGTTCAAAAAGATGAAAATAAATCCTGAATTTAAAGAAAAAACTTGAATTTTCTGTTTACTTTATACATTTTTCTCTCCCTTTTTGGGCATTACTAGAGGAAAGAATTTCCCTTAAATTTTGTATATTGGCTGAATTTAATAGTCAGACAAGCCAGCAGTGAAAAATATAGAAAATATGTTTCACTGCAGTGAAAAATGATTTTTTATACTAAAAAAATAAATATATAAAAATGGTACATTTTCTATACAGGATATCGAAGATTCAGCAGACGCAATGGGAGATTTTGATGTTGCTGATAGTATATTCCTGAGCAATCACCATGACTACATGGATCACCAAGGAGACAATCATGACCTTGACCTTGAGTGGACGGCCAATCAGGTGACAGATGAGTACTTGGAAATGGTTAGAATGACCTTGGGGATTGACCTTCATTAAAATTTGGAAGAAAACAGGGTGAATCAGGGTAGTAAAACAAACATTGTAAGGGATGATGTTATTGTTTGTTTGTTGTTTTTAAAGAACTTTCCTTTGGAAATAAGTTTTGCTGTCTTTAACAAATGAGCTTTTAAGATATGTTAGTAACATTTCATTATTCTTTCATTACATTGAACTGTTCTCAATGTATTAATGATTTGATGGGATTGTTTTTATGTTATGAAGTTAAAATATTGACATGATTTATACATTGAAGTTAAGTGTTTTATTAGGCATTATTTTGTAGACATGAATTTATTTGAAAAAATATAGAATGCCTCTTTAATATCCCTTTCAAACGGGAGCTTGTTGTAAATAGAGGTCATTTGATATTTTGAGACGTTTTAAATTTTAGAAAAAAAAACTTATGTTTAATATAAATCTTGGGTACAGACGGTATTTCTAGGGATGTTATCTGGAGCTGAAACAGCCATCCAAATCAGACATCCGGGTATGTTTGGCTGTTTGGTGGTTGTTTATTCTAAGTTGGCTGATGATATGACATAACCATTTTTCGCGACCTCTTTCAAAGTGTAATGATGTTGTTTTACTTCCTTTTTAATTGATTATGACATTTGTAAAAAAATTTCATTATTGATTTTTAGAAAAAATGTTTTATGTGAATCTTGCGTACGGACTTTTCTTTTCCTTGTAATATAAATGATTTTTTTAGAACTTGAACTTGTTAAAGATATTTTATGATTGTATGTATGTTTTATGAAATAGCTGTATCTAAGCTAAGTGAAAGTTTATAATATTTATGCAGTTTCGATTTTCTATGCAATTAACAAATTTTATCCCATAAACTCCAAAAAAACCTCAAGTCAACATTTTACTGCTGTCAATACTGATTAATCATAATACATATACCGTATTGTTGCAAATTAACGCCCCCCTCTTTAATTAGTGCCCTCTTTTTCCCCACCCCTATCACAATTTGGAGGGACAAAAATTAATAGTTTTTTTAATCCATAATGAAAGAGCAATCCAAAAAAATCGGAATATATATATTTTTATTTAAAAATAACAATTAATGACACTCAAGTAATTTAAAATCATTAAATAAATAAAATCCTGACCTGTATCATGTATTACATAATAATGAATAATGGTTTTTATAATTGAATTTTTATTTTAAATAAACATATTTTAAAGCACATTTTTATAGTTCTAAGAAAAAATGTTCTAAGAATCTAAGAAGTGCCTATCCCCCCCCCCCCCTGAAAAAATGCAAGGCCCCACGAGCCATTAATATGAGACAGTATGGTATATTATTAGCTCTATTATAATCGCTGCGTCATCGATGAGCAAAAAATTTAATGTAATCCATTATACAGTCATTTTAAAAGTTAAGAAAATGGGAATATTTTCTTATCCTGACAAAGTGCAGTTGTTTGACAAGGGACATAATTCTGAAAGCTGAATTTTTGGAGTTATGCCCCTTTTAAACTTTTTGTGAAATCTTGTTGACCTTAATAGACGAGTGTTAACACCACATGTGTTGCTCTTGTAATTGAATATTGCGGGAATTTTTACATATATATTTTTGTATGATTTGAATATTGCATATATGACAATCTCAAAGTCTGTATGATATTTTTATATGATATTTTAGGCGTAGCATTTTGATGAGGTGTCTGTTACTATTTATATTATTAAGAAATTATGGAACATTTTTTAAGGTTGAATGCTGTCAAAAATTGCTCAAAATTTTGCTACAACCATGTAATGCATTACCTGTTATTTATTGTTTTTATTGCATAGGAATATTGTTATTTTAAAATGTAGACATGTCTAAAAATTTTAAGATGTTTTGGTTGGAAATGGTTATAAGGGGATGTTCTCAATTTTGGTTGTGTACTTGAGATGTCTTTTAGTCCATGTCAGGGTAAGTGTAGATAAGATTATGCTTGAAAAACACAATAGGTAAATATTAGACTGATCAGAAATTTATGTTGAGTATCAAAACTTGTAAAAGTAATAGAAAGAGCATCGAAACACGAGAATATCTGATTTGTATGAGGGGGCGTAGCCACTGAGTATTAATCAGATTGCCAAGTGTTTTGATGTTCTTTCTCTTTTGTATCATAGGTAAAAATAAAAATATATTCCCTGTTGTCACAATACTAAACTCCAGAAAAAAGTAACCAATCAATAAACAAGCATCTGAATATGACTTTTCTATCATTATCCCCTCCGTTTTATGGTCTTATTTTTTGCCTATGATACAAAAGAGAGGAACATCAAAACACTTGTCAAACTGATATCTGACAAATCAGATAGCCTTAAATTGTGTTTCAATTCTCTTTCTAGTACATATATGTCCATGAAATGATTTTAAATTTTGAAAATTGGAATTGTGAAATTTTCAAAATCGTGAAGTAAAACCAGGTCACTTATAAAAGTCAGAACTGTTTGACCTTGAACATTTTGTAAAGAGAAATATAATATCAGTTTTAGAAAAGTCACATTTAGCAGTCTAAACTGCTTGACTTTTGACCTCCTAATTTATTGATTGCTCAATATTAAATTTTTTTTGTCTCTATTACAATGACTGAAATCCAAATTTTGTATTAGTTCAACTATTCGAAGGCGTGGACGATGCCTAATAATTTGGTTAAGTTTCTGCATGCAAGTTGGTATCTCCAAAACTACTGAGTGGGATGAAACTTTACCCACTTATTTTAGTGCATAATAGGAGGTCACTGTTCAGGGCCCATAACTCCAATATGGATTTTGACAGAATTTTGGCCTTTTTGAACTTGATAAATTCTTTGTTATCGAGGCTCTTATTTTACTATGACGCACAAAAATAGTTGAAAGCTCTTGTTTTTGGGGGTGTGTTTTTTTTAAAAGTAAACAATGGTACAAAATTATTTTTTGTATGTCTAGTAATATTGGGTCATTTATTGAAAGATTGTTTTGTTGAATAAATATTTCATTGGCTTTGTATAAGTAAATGGCATCACTGTCCTGAATCATGTTGCTTAGCAACATATATCTTTATTTTTATATGAAAGTATTGGTGCTAATACAGTCTGTCTCTATGTTATTCAAATTTATATGAAATTTAAATTTGTTATTCATGTATTTTTTTAATATGCTGCTTTTTTCTGTAAGACCTAATTGGTTACTTAGCGGGGGTTGACTTTTTATTATATACTTATAAATGAAATATTGAGAAATATTGATGAAATAAAATGCGTATTTTCATTTTCCGTATTTTCACTGTAAAAATTTATTTTTCACTGCAGTGAAATATATTTTCCGTATTTTCACTGGTGTCTTGCCGGACTACTTTCTTTTAAATTCTACCAGTACACAAAATTTAAGGGAATGTTTTTCAAATTTTATCGCAAAAAAGAGAAAAATGTACATAATAAACAGAAAATTCAAGTTTTTTCTATAAATACATGATTTATTTTCATCTTGTGGCATGAAAATTACCATATTTCACTCGTGGCTACCGCCACTCATGAAATATGGTAATTTTCATACCACTCGATGAAAATAAATCATGTATTCATAGAAAAAACTTGAATATCCTCTATTTATTATTGTATTTTAAACAACTTATTTCATCTCACATATCTCACAATTATAAAAATTACTCTTATACCAGTAAAGGAGAAACACCATTCATTATTGTAAAGAGTAAAGGTGTTACTGCCTTGACATTGATTTCTATTTAAGAAATGATATATCCCCAACAGTGATTTTATCGCTCAATAACATCACTGTTTTGAGTTTGGGTGCGACAACTTATATCATAAGTGTGTCACTAACCCCCTGTATGGGGAGCAGTGGCCTAGTGGTTAAGGTGTCTGCCTCTCAACTCAGGTATCATGGGTAAGAGCCCTACTTGGGGGTCACAACCATGTTTCTTCATATGACACGATTACTGGTTGGTTCTTGAAAGTAGACTCGAAAGTGATTAATTTAAGTTGCAAGAACTTGTTTTGCAATTGAGCTTAAATAAATATCTTTAAAAAAAACCTGTACAGAGTGGAATTTTTTCCAGATTCGTTTTTTGTTTTTCAAAGACATAGCTTGAAGTGCCAATGGATAACATGTACTCGTAAAGATTTGCTTGTGCCTGTTAAAGCCGCTGCAATAGTGATTCAGATGTGGTAAATTACCTAAAGTACTTTTCCCATAATTATATGATAATATATAAATTTCGATAACACGGTCAACTTTGGAAGTATTTTGTTTTTATTTTGCGCAGACACCCATAGAAGGTGTATTGACTTTTCCTTAGCTGGATTATTCTATTGTGTAATAGTTGATTGAGTAACAGACTTTGTCTACAAAACATTTGTATTTAAGGACCACCCTCATACATGTTATTACATCCTTACCAATTGCTTTATGAAATTTTTTTTATTTAATTGTAATTGAATTTTTGTTACCGACATGTAAAACTAAAGTCATATTGTATTTTTTCATATAGACAATATAAAACTCTTATAATATCTTTAATTTATATTTTAGCAATATATGAATGTTGTGCCAATTTAAGCAGAGAAACCAAAATCTTTTGTGTTTGAAAGAATGGTAAAAATTAAGTTCATTTTTTTATCTTTTATTTCAATGTGTTTATGTGATTATGTTCTTCAATTTTTGTTTCTCTTATATGCATTGATTTATGCTGAAATTGTGAGAGTGGTTTATTTTTAATATGTTTTCTCAAACCATTATTTGATTTGTTTTTATTACCAGAATTGTGTTCCGCTTATTGTCATTATTTTATTTGATTTTCGTTATTAATTTTGCATTTCTATAAAATGCTTTTTTAGATTTTAACCAGAATGCTTTTGCAATACGATACTGATTTTTTTTTTTACAAATTTTGTTGTTTTATAGTTTGTATAAACAAGTGGAGAATTTACATGGATTTTGCTTGAGGTGGGTTCATTAAAACATATTATAACATACCTTTTTTAAATTTTGCACATTGATATATGTTGATTTAGTTTAAAAGAACCAAACTCAGAAACCTTTGTTCTCCAATCCTGCTACAAATAATTTATGTGCAGAATATGAGTTGAGAGGAAATAAAGGGTAGTACTGGTTAAGGATCTGGGTAAATTGGATACATTTGTATATATCAACTGCTTACACACACCCAAAACCCACCCACCCTCACCCGGACACACACACATGCACCCTCACCCTCTTGCATGCAACACCCCACACATGCACCTCTGCACAGGCACCCTACCACACAAAAGATACACCCCCAGGTCACCTATTCTATTTTTGGATTCTTACATCATTATAGGCAAAGTACCTGAATTAATAAAAGATATGTTTTTAATTATAATCTGGGATGTGGAATTATTGACAAACTTGTCTTTCAATGTAAATGGATTTTTTTTGTTAGGAATAA